TGTAAACGCCTCCAAATAATTTTGCTTCATGGGTTATAAAAATGTAAGAAAAAGGACCTCCCAAAATCAGAGTTTACGACATTCTTGCCTACTCTTAAGGCAACTCGGGCAATATAAGACAAAGGGTACCAAAATGGAAAATGGTTCATACTTGGTCTATCTCACTTTAATATTTTCAAATGTGACATTTTCAATACCTTAGTAATTGGGTCACTATGCTGATGACAACATATAAGCTGATGTACTGGAAATTTTTAACAATGATTTCAAGATAACAGTAGATAGCAATATAACTTTCTTAGTGTTGAGATTGATTTAATTATTTTGATTAAAATTGATTGATTGATTGATTGATTGATTGGTTGATTGATTGGTTGATTGATTGGATTGATTTAAGATTGATTTAAGTTTGACATATATTTATAAGTTTTATAAATGACAAGACAAAAGAAAAAAGATTATTATCATTTTTAACTATTGCCCATTCAAAATAATGTTAAGCAGCAAAGGAAGCCAGAATAAACTAGAGAAAATAAATGAGAGGATTATGACAAGCGCATTTTTCTATTCATTCTTCTATGAAAAATTGAATAGAAAAATTGCAACAGCATAAGATACTAAACAGCTAAAAATTTAATTAAAACTTGGTTCCATGAGAACAAATGCACTTGCAGCAAATTGACTGCCTCGTGCTATCTACGAAATCAATTAATGGTAATCTTAATTAGTGCATATCTACTGGTGCAGAAACCTATAGTCATTATTAGATGTCTATAATCAGAAGACGCCAATAGTTTAATAGAAAAAGTAACTTGAACAGTTTCTAAGCTCAAAAAGTTAATGATCTACATTAAAAGAAAACAAATTTCTCAAGAAAAAATTAAGAAACGCTAAAATCCAAGCAAATATTTAACAGCAAAAGTAATTGCTGATGCTGCTGATGCCATTTTTCAAATGCGACTGTTTGTCTCTTGTCATTACTAATTGGAAGTAAACAGTCGTTGTTGCTTGTTTACTTTCATTAAAGTCAACGGATGGTTTCTTTCCACAACAAAAATATCATTAGAAAGATTGGTTAATAAACAAATTGTTAGTAGAAATATATATTTACATATATATACATAAGTCTTGTAACAAGGTATGGTAAGCGGTCACAGTTGTACATATTATTTTTTGGCAATAACTGTTTTCGAAAGATTTTTTGGCAATAACATCCAGTTGTGCTGGAATTCTTTATCTTCAAGCAATACTGTTACCTGGCTTTAAGTACCTCCACGTCGAGAGTTTCTGCAACACATGCTATTGCTATCACCTTATATAGGAACGCCCAGGAGTGCAGAAAAAGGCATAGTTATAAAGACGATTCACTAACACCCGTTCTATAATCGCGCTGCAGCAAGCTCTTGTTCCTCTAATGAGGTGACACATGGAGATTCCAATCGTGCAAAAATTCTGCGAAACAAAGTAAAGCCATGCTCACGAACTGCTGGTTGCAAAAACACATAAAGTATAGGATCACATAAGAGATTTAATGAGTACAAAATCGTACGTGTCTTGTCCAGTATCTTTGACTCGTTCCTATGGAAGAGTTTTACCATTGAAGGGATAATTTCGAAAAATAAAAAGGCAGTTATCAAGCCTGCAACAGTGTAAATGAATTTGTGATGGTCTTTGTCCTGACTATTGGACACGGTACTCTTCCTTTGGCGCTTCAGGTATAAAAAAATGGAGGCATATGTCGCGATAAATAGTGCCAAAAAACAAAAGTCGATCACTGACCAGACAAAACGGTCAACAAATACTCGCAGTGATATTTTGTTAACAATTAAAACAATCACGATGAACAAAATGGCGATGATGCAGGAGACCACCAAACATGCATAGATAAAATTAGTTCTGATGAACACTTTGTGCTTGATTGGAAAATTACAGCCTAAAAGGCGATCGAGTGTTATCAGGAAGATCATTGCATACCATACCAGGTAGATACCTGCTCGGAAAGACCAAGTAACATAGTTAATATCGCAACAGAAGCAGCCAGCAAACACAATGATTTCATTACAGAACCATAGAATGGCCAAAAGAATATCAACACAGCTCAGGCTCATCATAATTATCATTTGGTTGGTTTTTCGATTTTTAAGTGATTTCAACAAATAGATTCCAATGCTGTTGCCAATAACAACGAAAGCCAATATGATATTCGTAAAAATCATCAAGGAATTTGGCCATGTTCCTCCGTAATCCTCTTCTTCGCATAACGTCATGATGTCGATTGACTACGTAGGATCTAATAGATGTGTCATTACGTCACATGTTGATTTGATTTGTAATTACTCTTACCTTTAGAATGCAATTGATGATGTAAATTTACTTGCAAAGCAATAAAAGGTATCTGAAAATTCCACGGACGCTTCTTTAATAAGGCAGAGAATTATGGAGTTTTCTACATTATAGAGTTTTCACACGTTTTCCAAATAACTTGTCGCTCCACTCAAGGTAAAGTCACGGACTGCATTTAGCTATAATTTGCTAGAGTTCTGCTGCTAAGTGTGATTAACGATAGAATAAGTTTGTCATATTGACCATAGCACAAAACGCATATTGGTTAAATGATCTTTGGACTGCTTTAAAACCACAGTTACATTCGAACCCTAATCCAACGAGAAGTAAATGTGAAGCCGTGCTTGTCCAAAAGTCCTTGCTTTCTCAAATTTAGCTGACTTCAAATAACATACAATGAAACTGCTCAAGATATGCACCAAGCTTGGACTGCTTTAGCTTTCAATTATTAACAGATATACCACAACGCGTATTGGGGTTTCACAACCGACTGGTTATCACATTTAGAAACACGATAAAACACTTGCGGACTCAAGAGTTAAAGTAGCAGGTGTCTTAACTTATTTCCATGTATGTTGCTTGTTCAGACAGCCTTACTACCAATGTTTATATATCAAGATAGGCAACCTATAGATTACAATCGATAATAGCCCAAATTTGTCACTAAGAAAACAGAGACTGTTTGATGTCCCATATTCTGAGTATGCTTTTCAGACAAGATTTAACCCTCCACTGTAAACAATGTCGTCATGCAGCAGCTTACTATTCTACTCTTCCTGATTGGCTAGACACGCCACCACCAACCACTTTAACTTTAAACAACGTGAACGCCAATTTGTCATGTTTCACCCCAATCACAGCTTCCATAGGGCTAACCCAACACCATTCCAATGGCTCGTTCAGATGGAAGTAGGACTACACATTGACACGTGCTCATTCATCCGTGACTAGATCGTCCACCTAGTCAAATTACATAACCCACAAAACATTTGCCCATTGTTTGTCTTACTTTTGAATTAGAAAATAATATTATCTAAGCCCACAAACAAAAGTCTGGATATTTTGGGGCAAACTGTTTGAAATTCCCAAGCATATAAAAATGAAAGCGGTTTGTTAACAGGTAAAACACATTGAAACTAACTGAGTTGTCAAATGTACGTGCATGTAACTCAATAACTAGCAATAGATCTAAACAGTCAGTCCGGCTTTTAAACTACAGATAACGAAATCTACCGAATCAAACGTTTTCTCTGAAATTACCCAGAGATAATGAGCATTAGATTAAGCAGAAAATTAATATCGATATATAGATAAGAAGTAACGCGAGAAGACGAATGGCGCGTTTGATTGATATATGAATTCCTCGTTTTATACCAATCGATGGCTGCTATCCATACGAACAGCTGAAAAGACCAATAGAAAAAATAATTCTTTCTGTCTACGCAAGTCGAGATCTTTCGTTTCAATGTAGACAGACTCCATGAACTTTTAATGAAAAAACAGCCTTACGTCTTCAATAGACTCTATACAGATCTATACAGAAAATTTCCGCTTTGTAAACTTGCTTATCAGAAACTGAACTCAGCTCTGATTCGCTGAAGAAAACACCTTCGTACAGGCGGAACATTAAAAAGAAAGTTTCCTTTGAAAAGTTATACGTTGATATCGTATTATTGTTTGTGTAGTTGAAAATGCAAAATTGCAGAAAAATATTTTCTTTATAAATTGATTTTCAAAGGTTTAAAGTCTCTGGGTCTACCTCTTATAAGCATTGACAAAAACGACAATTATACATTTTTGAAAACATATTTTCAACAATTTTAAAACAGATAGTTCATTATTCATGTTGCATAACTTAATGTCACTTAGTTTATTATCATATAACAAAAACCATCAGTATGTTTTTTGTGAGATTGGGGATGGAACGTCAACCAACGGCAATTTGAGATATGTATGACACTTTAAGGGCCAAAGATTTTCCTGCAGAGAAACTAGCAAATAAACGGCTTCTGAAAATCCATTACCTCAGAGAAGTTCTTTTATTTCCTCATGTCGGGAAACAAATCTAATCTAAAAGCAAATCGTTATCTCTTGTGAACTAAAGTAGTTATGAGGCCAGTTCTCCTCTCCTTTGGACTAAAAGAATTTCAACAAATGTATTGGCCAGTAATGTTGGTTTCCTGAATACACTGTTCTGGTAACTTGGAGTTGATCAGAAGACTATGACAGACCAATACCTTCAAAAGTATTCAGAATCTTTTGGCTGCTACCAGAACCTTTACTTGTTCCTTTGAGGATAGTTTTCGATATCTTTTTTTAATGAAACTTTTCAGCATTGCCTAAAAGAGCCTACCCTGGCGACAGAAAGTTACAATAACGGCCAAGTGATTCGAAGGCTTGTTCGTCCCACGTGATTCGAACTCTGCCCAGCAGTAACCGGTTGACTGGTAGAATCATCGTATGAAAAGAGAATGCTAAAGGCAGCGTTGAAAGAAACTGACAAAAACTTCTGGAGCAGACAAGTGTCGTTTTTGTGATGTACTTGGTATATAGGGCTTCTCTTACCATTAAGTGGTACCTTGTGATGCAGAAGGGGCATTCTTCATAATCAAAATCGAGAAAATCCAACATAAGCAGAATTTGTACACAAAAACACATTTCTATCAGAAAGAAACAATACTCTTTGTAAATCCATCAAAATAAGCGGCAATCTACGATTACTCAATTACCACAATATTTGTGTTATTATTTTCCTACAGGAAATAGTCTTGTAATTAAATGAATGTTTATTTAACGAGAATCAAGACAAATATGAAAATGAACTGGGTATTCAGAACAAAATAAAGGGGACAGGGGTGCACGAAAAGCTTCTGTATTGGAAGCAAAATAACAGTTAATATTTCTTAACAACATTATCAAGCAATTATAAAAGTACTGGCCAGCTTCTACGTAACAAAAAAGGGGCCTTGTAAAACTTCATAAAAGCAGTAAGAAGTTATATTCTCGCCATTAAGTGAGAACTTTACCCTGAAAGCAACGAAGATCAAAGATCGAAACATTCTGTTACTTATCTTGCTTCGCAACGACACTTCCTCAACTTTTTATAAAAGGCAAAAACAATGTTTTTAAAAATACTTGATAAAGCTACAACAGCATAAAATCTGAAAGTGCTACCTCAAGGGAAGAAAAAGTAGATCAAATAGCAAGGTTGAGTTTTTTTGTGTTGGATAAGACGAGTCAAATTACCTGATATTGCTTCAACACTTACAATTTCGCACAGTTTTTTATCTCTTGTCTTAAACAAATTTAATAATTTAGCCACAATATTTTTAAAAAGACATTAATTGGAAAGATCAAAAAAGGTTTTGGAAATTACATCTTGCCCGTCTGACATTCGTTGTCATCTCTTTCTGACAAAAAATAAAAAAATTGTTCATATTTCAATAGCTATCAAGTTGTAATCATTCATCCCCAGATCCTGAGCTGCGCTTAACCTTTCGTTGTCTTGGTGATCTTCTTGGAGAGGATTTACCTTGCAAAAGAAAACGGGGTAAATTAACTTCGTCAAAAGGACAATTTATCAACAAATTATTGGCGAAATGCTAAGTCACACACAATATGAAATGAATGTTTATTAAAACTACCCATATCCTAAGATATTGCTGTCTATTATTGATGAAGACAATTATTCTTCAAGATTTTCTCCCTGTTTTGCAGTTTTAAAACACTGCTTAAAGTCACCAAACCCCAGAAGATACAAATCCAAATCAGAAAAGACATCAAAATAACACATTGGACCAGCAGTACCACAGAGGAATATTCAATCATTTTTTGTCACTGATGACTTACTGAAATCGGTGGTAGTTTCTTTTGGCAGCCAGTCATAGTCCACATCACCATGCTGAGTCCCAACCTCAACTGGGGACGATTTGGATTGTGTCTTCTTTCCCTGGAAGGTTCAGAAACGCAAAATCAATATCTGACGATCCTCAAATCTGATAGAATTTATATGCACAACAGTTGCAACAAAACAATACTGAAGAAGAGTTCAAAAACGTTCGCAAAAACATTTGCAAACAGCTATCTTCTTCAAATGCAAATCTTGAGAGATCTTTGAGTGCCATCTTTAATAGGGCTAAATAAGCCCAAAGAGTTAATCTAGACATATGCCCATCACTTCTGCATTATTTTTAGTTCCCAGCCTTGCTGCCTTGCTAGTCCGAAGTTCCTGCCTTATTAAACAATTTCAATCTACTATTCTTGTTAAGGCTAGATTTTTCATTTTTATTGACTGTGACCAAGGTGCAACTCCGGTCCGATCACAGTAGTTGCTGGACATACAGAACTATTATTGTATTTATTTCTCATATTTTGTTTTAAAAAGTGGCCTGATGCATGGCATAACTTTAAAGACCATGAAGAACACGTCTTGAAAGAATGCTTTTGCGGATTTGAAAATTTCATTGCAAATTTCTGGTCAGATTCCAGCATCAAGCCACAGTTGGCATGTCAATTAGGGCTCTGATGAAGAGTACCTGCTGGAACAGACAGAACCAAATAGCAGAAAATTCAAAAGTAGCTTTTAAATATCTTCGAAAATGTCATACCTTTGCCGATGAAAAAGCATAATTAACTCCAAAAATGACTAGAAGAGCAAGAGCAGCCAAAAACACATACAGGAAGAACCTGGAACGGAAATTACAGTGAATTTGAAATTTGAATACAACAGCACCCTCTGTAAAAAAAATTATAACTTGCAAGAAAACATGCCAGATAATTGAGATAAAATTTTCTATTTTCTTCTCTCTATAGCTCTTTACTTTTGAAAAAATGCATAGGTGGGGGCAAACTTTTTTCTTTAAAACGTTTTTGATGGTTTAAATCTATGCTGCCCTTTACAACTGCCTCCAATAGTTGTTTTGTATAAAGACTGCACAATTCATTTTCAAAATTGTATTTTGTCTCATTAGAATAAAAAAGTTAAATTTTACGCCATATTTTCCAGGCCAGATTACATTTCTCTACAATAAATAAAAAGTTTTTACAAGTACACTCACGTTTCCCCATCGAAACTTTCATCTAATTCTTGGAAAGTTATAGTTTCATTGAAGACAGCTCCTCCGTATTCAGTGCCAAGCTAAAAAGAAGGTCAGCAATGAAACTCCAATGATCTCAGAAGATCAAATCAAAAAAAGTTTGAATTTGGACAAAATAAAATAAGGTGGAGGGTTTGTATTACTTACATCATCTTTATATGTTGCCATTATGACTAGACCAAATGGACGTCCTCCGTAAGATTCATGGGGATGAAAGTTGTACTCAAAAGCAGCCTCATGGTTTTGCTCAACCAGTCGGTTGTAGCGATATCCAGTGAAGTTTTGTACAGAGTAACTGTAATCTTGTGGGTATCTGAATGAGGCATCAATGGTCTCAAATGTAAAATCTCGAAGACCTCTGTTTGCAAAACCAATAAGGGCATTGATGGGTTTTCCAGCAGGGAGCTCTGCATAACAAGATGGAAGTATTCAGCTGACACAACTGTGGTTATGAGTCTATTGGCAACTGCATAATTTACAATAAGATGTTACAAGACAGCTTCAATTATCACAATAGAAGCTATTGCTGTGTATCATGACATATAAGAACACTTTACTTAAATGCAACAAATTTACGCCCTTTGTTCCTAAGCCCAGTTTAGAACTGTATGTAGCAATATGTGGCAATTCTGAAGAAACAGGAAACAACATTAGCTCTAAAATATGTTTTATATAATTCTTAGTCCATAAGAAAAGATTGATGGAAAAAGCTTACGTTTATCAGGGAAACTTGGGAATAAGACAGAAAGTTCAACATCTGGATGAGATCTTAAGCCAGTTACTTCACTTTCATCTTCTGCACTTTCAGCCTGTGACAGACAAGCAAAATTTGCATTATTTCAAGATAAAATTTGAATGTTAACCAATATATGTAGGAATGTAATAATCTAAAAAATTATGTGGTGAAAACAGAGATATATTGAGGAATGACCTTTTCAGTTTCTTCTGCAGGGGCTTCTGTACCATCATCTTCAGTTTCAACCTAAAGGAAGGTGATATTTAATCAATTTTATTGAATTTAACTAAAAGAATTAGGACAGAACCATTCCATCATTGTTATAATAAATAAGTAAAATTTTATGTTGTGAACCTTAAGTAAACAGTTGTCACTATAAACTGACTATTTTCATTTCTTCTACTAACAAACAGTTCTCAAAAAAGCATCTTTGTTTACATTGCACAATCAATCATGCCTGTGTCCAGACATCACATAGTTACGCTAAAATTCCAAACTTGTTCACTTGTTCACTCAATTCAATCTTATAGGAGAAACAAACCAAACATATAACTGTTCATGCTTGTTTGGTTGGACTTTTTTCTTTGATGCCCAGTTAAGATTTATTAATTGCAATTTCATCAAGATTCATTATTCACCTGCTGTAACATTTAGTTTTGTTTTGCTCTGTCTCTTCTTTCAGTTGAGGATAATTCCAAATCTAGTGCCTAAATGGCCCATTGAGCAAGGTTTTTGCTTTTGGGTGAAAATGTACTTCTCGATGCAGTAAAAATCTCAGACATTATTCCTTTAGCCCTAACATTATGCCAAGCAAAGTTAAACATTATTCCCCTAGCCATGTAAAGTCTTTACAAAAATTTCCCCTTTCCCATCAATAACAAAAAAATTACAGGTCCAGCATGCAAAAAGTTATTCAAGTGAATGTATCGAGTTAAACAGTGATGTAAAAAGATAAAAAATAAACATATCAATGCTAAAAAATAAATAAATGCAATGCATTATGATGAAAGGTTATCACACTATCATTCACATGAATAACTAAAAACACATGGACTGTTTGTGGCCTGCGTGCAGACCTGTTTATTTTCTTGTTTTAAGTTTTTCACATTTTCTTCAGGGAATTATCTATACTTCACAAACTGTCTTTGGTACAGTGGCTTCAAATTGGATGCTGATTATTTGTACACAAAAGTGGTTGCAAGTATGCCAACAGAATAATGATAACATGTCTTGCATGATCAAATTTATTCAATGGCTAAATGTAAAGGTAAAGGTTAGTCCCTTATTCAATATCTAACATTGATGAATGCACTGTTAGGGGCCCTTGGTCCTAGGGCACATGTGTGGTATGGTGGCATGCAAAAATATCCTCAAAGGCATAAGATGAAAAAGAAAAGTTATGATTTGTTCTTTAAAATCGTCGAAATACATTTCTTTAGATTTTAGGACAAATAGTTTTGAATATAGCAACATTCTCGCAAAATAAGTGGATACAAGAAAATTTGTGCCATTGCAGACATTATTTTTTCTTTATTTGTCAAGTCTGCATGAAGGCTAGGACAGATGGTCTATGTTAAAAGCCTTATGGATGTTGAGTAGTGTTGCAGGAATGGCTTACATACATGGATATGGCCTATTTACCAGTCAAGAACCTTGTCTGAATGTTTATGGAAGAAGCATATGAACAATTAGTGTATGATGTGACATGTCATAAAAATGCTTGCAACTTTTTATGCAAATATAACTATTATCACTTTCATCATAATCATAACCAAATATTACATATATTTATATTTTGTCAATGACTGAAAATGGGAAAACAGGAAAAAGGAGTTGTAAAATAGATGACTAAAAAAATTGGTATATTGGGCCAAGCATGGTGTGTGGAACTTTAACACACAAACATTATATGAAACTACTTGGACCAGTTATACCACAACATTTCAAAAGGGCATAAAAAACAGAAACACATTGCAATACATAAATACAACCATACTTGGTGCTATCAATCGTATTTCTGTTTTTATCAGTGCCATTTTAGAATAAAGCAGGCCTTGCACTAAGCAAAATGAAGGAGCTCCATAAAACAAGCTCCTAAGAAACTCAAGGCGCTTTATTTCACAATTCTGTGTAAAATTGCTGTTCTAAGAAAACGAGTCAAATGGAATGATCCAAATGGAAACAATGCATTTAAAGTATAAATCATTGCAATTTTAAATTATCTAAATCTCAAAATCGAATTTTTGTTTGTATTTACGATGAAGGGAAAGTATATAACTCTTTTTATTCAAAAAAACATTTAATGTAGGAATGGTCTCATGAGGAACTGGATACAAAATCTAGTCATCAAAAGACTTGTGGTATAAACTGGTGTATATATAAATCTTATTAACCAAAATATTTTGGTGATTTGAGAAGATATTTTATGCCTTATCAACATTATATATATATTTTCAAACAATATTTTGCCTTGGTGAAATATATATCATTTAACATTTTCAGGCACTCATTAAACTGCTCTCCATGGTATTCATATTTAGGTGCACTTTCTGGGCAAGGCCTGATAGAGGCAATTCAACCACAACCAAAGATTACAATTATCCAGAAAATCTTATTCAGTAATTGGAAAAATGAACAAATGATAAAATATCCCAAAACCGATAGAATAAAACAAGATGTGCCTATGATGCAAGATGGACATTTCAAAGTTCATGTGATCGACTTTGAAACCCTCTTTCCAATATTTCTTACTTGGTGCTCATGTTTATCTTAACAATTTATAATTTGCTCCAAACCTTGGACTCAGTATCTTCATCAGTTGTTGCAGTGGCCTCTGGGTCACCAGTTTCTATCTCATCATCAGTTTGATCTTCCTGTGCTAATGCGCATCCTATATAAAAACATATTTCTTAATTTTGATCCCTATTTTTGCGATACAGATGTGTGAAATACTTTGAGAAACCATGGATTCAGTTGGCTATTCCAAATACAATTCATAGAAGTTGCAGTATAATGGCATGCCAGTCAAGTAAAGGTTTTCAGAAAATATACAGCTTTCACATGATTCTAATACTGAAAATGGTGATCAAAATCTTCCTACAAGTATATACAAGCAAAAATACCAATCGGGAAAGCAGCAAGGCTATTTTATCAGAAAGGAGCAATTTTTCAACCATATATCTTATGAATAATTGGAATGTCTTACATCAACAGAAATGGACACAGTTTTTGGCTGGAGGCACTTGGATACTATTGTGAGAGGTGAGACAATACAATCCTCCTTAAATAATTTTCATGGTAATGTTGCTATACTGTTTGCTTATATTCATACCAAAACATCAACGAGAAACAAGTTTCAACATTGAAAAAAATAAGCATACAGGTTACAATTAAACAAAGGCAAGGACGACTTTTAAATATTATTTGTCTATGAAAAAGATACAAAGTATATATAAAGGTAAAGATATTAAAATAAAGAACTCCCTTGCTTTGCTAAATTGTTGAGAACACTGATAAGAAACAGATTGAGTGAATGAAAAGGTGAAAAATCAGTGTTGTTAGTTGTGTTACATTCTGACACGTAAGTCGACGAAAACGAGTTCTTCTTTAGTCTTAGATAAAAAATATTTAATAAAGATGAGTTAATCATGATAGAGTATTCAAATGTAGACCCTCGGGGAATTAAAGGGCTCATATCATATTTCTGCATCTCATAGTGACACGTGTAATAAGACTTAGGCCCATAAGAGTTCTTTGTTTACCTGTCTAGAAAAAAACCTGAAAGGGAGAAAAAATAACGCAGGAACTTACCATTGTTGAAAAGCACTACTGCTGGAAAAATAACTAAGGAGAGTACAAAAAGACTTGAAAATAATTTGAACATCTTGTTGGCTACTGTTCCAGGAAGATGCCAGTGATTCAGCTGGATATGCTACGTTGCTTTATGGCCTAAAGACACCTTTGTTGTTCATAAAATCGAAAAGAGGCAGAGAGGTAGCCCTGCGAGGCTTCTTCGCATTAACACAAATTTAGTGGAATTTACACATCCTCCAATATGAACTACTTGAGAGGTCAAAAGATGTATCACAGCAAACGGGGTACTTGATACAAATTTAAAATAATTAATTCTGTATTATTTTTGGCCCCTATATCCTATTTTTCCGGAGCACCTTTGAAAATCTAACAGAATCTCTGCATTTTTATGCAGATAGCATATTACCGATGGATTTAAGAAGAGTTTTAGAGTAGCAAAAAATCAAATGAGACCTAGGCCTATGTAATTGTCTTTCTCCCTCCATCTCGAGCATCTACAAATGCATACATACTAAAATGTACATTTCTGTATTATGTTTTTTGAAGATAGCGTTTTTGCCTCGCAAAGGTAATAGGGAATGAACCTAAAGTTGTCTTTCTTGATGATTTTTATTTGACTTGTATATTTTTTGTGAAATTTTTGGAATAATTTCCTTGTAATTATTGTAAATTTAGCTGAAAAAATTAATGTATTAAGGTTAGAAATAGCCACTCTAGAAAATTCTATCTAGCTCTATTTAGGTTTCATAAGAGCTTTGGTTACCGGTATGATGGAAAAGAGCACCAAACAGCCCTTTTATTTCTAGATAATATAAGAAAAATAATTGAGACAATAAGGCATCAATTTTTTGTAAAAGTGAAGCAAATTCTGAGCCAAATGAATTTCAATTATGTGTGCTACAGGGCTCATGGCCTTTTCGTTTTCTAGCCTAACGATACTAGATCTGGAATAGCCATAGAACTTGGATAACTCTAACCAACGTCTATGTGAAGAAATAAAAAACCAATGCATAGCTTAGCATGTGGAGAATGAAGAATGATGTGCGTTATTGTATTGGAATAACTGCTACATCAAACTTTAGTGCAAAATAAGCAAAATGTCTTTAAATTGTATGGCTATAATACCAAGCCTGTTCTCGTGTTAGTATCTCTTTAATGCCTACTTGAATTAAAAATGAAATGGAATGAAAATGTACTTATCTTGTCTAAACAAAACAAAAACTCCAGAATTTGGATAAGTAGCTGTGTCTTGAACAATGGACGTGGCTTAAATCACTAAAGTGAATTAACTGAAGTGTTCAGGGGCGGATCCAGGATTTTTGGTGACTATAGCTCAAATCTTTTGGGATCGGAACCACGCCCTCCTTGCTTGCGGGACACGCCCACTATATGGGCAAATGATAAACCATGTGTGTTTATAGTTGCTTCGTATTCATAAATATTCCTTCGAACATCCTTTTTCTATTTCCAGGGACGCCAGAGAAGAGGGTGTGGGGGTACAACCGCCCCTGTTGCCCTTTGGCAGAAGGGGCAAGGGTTGTTTTTAATAAAGTTCCCTTGAAACTGGCCAATTGTAATAATCAGAGAGATTCGTATGAAATTCTGAACTTCTCAAAACATGTAAAATAATTCCTTGTGCCGAAAGTTAGCCAATGTTGAAGATACCTACAGATAATAAAATTGCAGTTACGTATGAATTTGTAGAAGCTGAGAATTATCTTTCAAAAGCCTTTTTACTCAAGCCTGCCCCCCCCCTTGCCGCTTGGTCGTTCCGCCGTCCCTGTCTATTCCCTAGTAGGTCCTTGCCTTTGAAGCTACATTACAGGGGACCCAGGATGTGAAAACGAGCAATAGTCTACTGTTGCTTTACAGGGGACAGAGAGCGGAGAAATACCGTGGATACTCATATTCTATTGGTTAAAAGGCCATTTTCAAACCTGACTATAGCTTGACTATAGCTCGCGCCAAAAATTATAGTACGGGTTTCATTGTCTTCGATGCCTTTTCCAGAGCAAATCCCCAGACCGACTATAGCTCGGAATATCCACTGTAGCTCAATTCTGGTTGGTTACTGTCAACAAAGAACGAAACTTCTGATTCGTCTAAGTTTTAATATTAGACCATTCTGCGCTCAGTGTTTTATATCTTATCTGGAGAGGCATTGTGATGACACATTGCCAGCAGTGCATGTTTGTTAATCGCATTTGATAACCTATACCGCTGCTTTCAAATGTGAATTCCGAAAATCAAACACTGAGATTTTGACTATAGCTCGAGCTACAGTTGCTATAGTCTGGATCCGCTCCTGGTGTTTGTCTTCTTATTTCAAATATTGTATCACAACACTTTTACTTTACAAGAAGGTCGTATCAGGCGATACATGCTACCCGCAGTGGCGTAGAAAGAGGGGCTCAGGGGGGAGGGTGGCCAACAAACGCCCTGTGACAGGCCAAACAGATATTTTGTTGGAACAATGGTCTGATCTTGTTGGAAATATAAACATTATTTTCTATTTTTATCAAAGTGTATACAATTTGAGAGAACAGTCTTTAAAAGTTATTCTACTATTTTTCAGTTTTCTGAATCAGAATGGCCACTTAAAAATGCCTTTTTACAAAGAGAAAACCCATAAATCTTGCAACTTAGTTTGATTTATGGACCATGACTTGAGTAATATATTTAGACTTTATCTCCTGTTATATTTAGGTTCTAATTTCGTTGTGGTATTGTTTTGAATCTGATGTTACAACTTTTTTGAATCTGTGTTTTATGATCAATATGGTATTTTTAACAAGAAAGAGTATTTTGCAATCTGAAATTCAAATTTGTGCGTTTCTTTGGTGCTAATTTTTGGGAGAAGTTAGGAAATGTGTCAGTTTTTTCAATAAGCCTTGTTTCCTTTCAACGTGAAACTATCAAATTTTATTCTGAAGCGAAATTTATTGTTCTGTCCCTTCATGTAATGTTCAAAATTACATTTAATAAATCACCTTAAAAAGGGGTGCTCTCTCCTCGATTAGTCTCTTCTACTTGAGAGAGCTTCAGAAACTCCCCTGCAAACAACTCTCACATTATATATGTATTTTATGTTATGTGTGAACATGTAGTGATTAGTTGTAATGTAGTGTAGTAAGATATTGTATGTAGAAAATTTTGAAAATAAAAAACTGAACTGAAACTGATCTGAACTGAACTGTGTTCAAATGCATTAAAATTAAAAATGTTTGTTAGATTTTTGTCGGAAATCTCAGTTATTAAACCCCTCCTATGAAATTTGCCTATCTAACCAATTTACGAAATTTCCTATGATGCTACCAGTTGTTTGCCCTAACCCTGGTAGGCCCCTTTGACCCAACATATATTGTTCTTTTTCAAACGTTATGCTCATGTTTGGGTCCCTCTAAGGTTTTGCTTCACAAATGAAAATCAACGACAAAAGACGAAAAGTGGTGGGTTGGCTGTTTTCCCTGGGTGCCCAAGTCGATTTTGCATCCTATCTATATACCGTGGTAATATAAAAGCACTAGTCTTTAGAAGAGAAAATAATTTTCGCAACTTGAATTCAAAATTTCATGAATAAGTAAGATAGTAGGCCCCTCGTGGAAAATGTATAGGTACGCGCCTATGCTTTCAGTGCATTAATACAAAATTGCTACCGTTCTTTACTTGTTATCAACCTTGACTAGTTATCCTAATGCCAATTTTGGGGGTATTTAGCAAACAAAATCAACTTTTAAATAGGAGTCTCGACAAGAAGAACAAATTTAATTTTATAATCAAAGGCGTGTTCTCATAGAGCAATGGGTAAAAAAGATCTGGAACGAGGTTCCGTCGTTCTTTCAGAACAAGGCGCATATTTTCTCGGCCTTTCAGGGAACACAGGGATCAAACGTAAGAATTTTGTCAGTTCTCTAACTGATACAGAAAGTCGTAGACCAAAAACAATTCATTACAAAATATTACCGTACCAAAAAGACCATGCTTATAAAAGTCAAGACACTAACTGGTAAAGAGGTAAGTCTTCAAACACGTAATGAAAAACTGATTTAACTAAAATGAATTCCATGATACGATTGTCAAGTTCATGCACACAGAAGAGATGTGGCCTACACAATAACGTTGGCTACATTATTATGTTAGATCATTGTATTTATTAATAGAGGACTGAGCAACGTAGGGGTTTTATGACAGACCTACGTGCTTTGTTAATCCGCTTTTTTCATTTTACGTCTTTTGCAGATAGAAATAGACATAGAGCCAAATGACAAGGTGGGTATTCTACATTTGCTTTAAAATTTTTTTACCCGGATATGATGATTAAAAAATGAGATGAAATGACCTCTCTTGCTGTACCTATTTCTTACCCTAGATTTAGCTTTCGCCTGAGAATCTATGCAAGGGTGTGGGGCACAGAAACAGAAAACATAAATTCAATGGGAAAAGACTGGATGAAATAAGCACATGCATCAAAAAATGTTTTAAACCTTGCTTGAAATAGGTGACTGTTGTCTAAAACGACCAAAACAAGATAACACTGTCACAATGTGTATATAATTTTTTGAATCTTAATGCAAGTAGAAAAAGTTAGTATGCAGAAGCAAAGCAGATTGATTGCAAACTTTTCAGAGAAGAGTGATTTGAAGGAGAATTGCTGATCTGCCATGAATGAAGAGATGAAGCAAAAAGAGGTCCTGGAAGAATGTTGGTACCTTCTTACTCTTTGTTAATGAGAACCAGTTAGTTTTTTATATGAATTGAAGCTTATTGTAAAAGTATAAGCAACCAAATATTTGTACCTTTCTTCATTGTTGATTTATTAATTGATTTAGTTTTTATCAATTTAGGTAGAAAGAATAAAAGAAAGGGTTGAGGAAAAGGAAGGCATCCCACCTGCACAGCAAAGGTCTGCAATACACTTTTTGTTATTTTTGTCTCCAGCTGGGGTTTTTTTAAAAGATCCCTGTTGCAAATATTCTTTAACAGTTTTTTCTCATTAAGTACCATATATTGTTTGCAAGTATATAGGAAAAAAAGCAGCAGACATGATGAGATAATTCTACCGGACCATTCAATACTAGCCTTTAATGAATGAAGTACAGGTGACTCTCAGAGATGCCTGTAGCCCCTTCACACACAAAGCCTAGCATGAAAATATTTTGGAAGTAGAAGAGGATTTTATACATTTAATAAATATTTGGTTACTTTTAAATGACAATTTCAAAATAATAATACTGAAAGGGAAAATACCATTTCAAGTAAGTTTAGCACAAGACTGTAATCTTGGAAGCCAGGTCTCTCAGTAAAGATTTTAGCTGGTGTGGGCTGATTGCACAACTTGAAGCAGATTTTTCATGTAGGCCCACAATTCATAATATGCTTTTTATCTTAAATTTATTCACTGAAATGATATCTTTTTTTGAGCCTGTTTCACCATCAAATATTTGCTCTGGTACAATGACATATAATTGAAAACTATGTCTAAAGCAAAGTCAACAATTACCAATTTGAAAAGCAAATAAGAAAAGATTTGATGAATGGTTTGTTGAAAACATGTGGACTAAAGCAATATTTTTTTGTTAATCAGCATGTTTGTTTTTTTGTAGACTAATATTCAGTGGAAAACAAATGTAAGTTTTTGAAAGCAGAACTTGTTCTAAAACAAATATAAAATGATATTAGATACAATTTGTACCTGTCTGATTTCTGAAAACCTCTATTTTTATAAAATCAAAGTATTAATTTTCCCTTATTTGTTAAAATTGTTCTTGTCAACTTTTAATTGATATTGTCATCCAAAGATTTGAAGAATCATAGAACAAACTATTCAGAATTCAGATATTTTCTTTTTGACATGACGTTTTGCATAGGTGTTTATCTATTTCTCCAAGAAAAGCACTAATTTGAATAGCCAAATAATATTTTGGATTTTTTACAGTTTAAAGCTTCAGTAAAGGGTTGAAATTGATGAGTATGTTTGACTTACAGGCTTTTTGGAAGATAACCCTCAAGTTTTTTACCTTTTAGGAATGATGAAAAGACAGCTCAAGACTATAAAGTTACTGGAGGATCTGTTCTACATTTAGTATTAGCTCTTAGAGGTGGATACTGAGAAAAGTAATAACTTCATATTCAACTATTGTTGCCAGTAAAATTGGTAGCAAATGGAAATGTTTGTTATAGAGAAACAGAGAAGAAGCCTAACAATGATACCTTGTAAAAACTTAAAGTGAATTCCAGTGAGGAAGAGCATGTAGCTTCAGCTTTGTTATATTTACAAGAAACTTTTGTCCAATGTAAATAGCTTCAAGATGAAGTAATGTGTTTATGTCAACCTGTAATTATTGATCAAAAGTTGCTTCTTGTTAAGTTGCTTCCTGTTACTTTGATTTAACAAAGATACTTCCTCTTTATTTTCACATGGTTTCTCTTCATTAAGGTGAACTTTAATAAATTATAATAAATTTTCACTTGAAAAATAACAATTTGATTCCTAAATTGTTTATTAGAATGGCAAGAAATTTGAATTTCAACTAGGTGACAAAACACTATTGTTTCAAAAGAAATATGATAAGGAATAAATGAAGAGAACGGCTTGCATCTTCAAGGCTTTTTGTTCACCTTGCTATGGACCTTTTTGATCTTACCAAATGGATAAAAACTATAAAGAAAAAAGGATAGAAGACTGATTGTTATTCTACCTTTTTGGCTTCTAATTACTTTCAGTTTGTAAACACAAAGCCTGCAAATAACATAGCAGTTGCTATTGAGGGCAATCATCTAATAATCTGCCTCTTTCTCCACACTAAGGGTATTCTTTCATAAAACATTAGAAATGTATAGAATTTAAAGTTCAGGTACATATTAACTGCTTTCCTAGGTGACACTTTGATAAAAAACACATATCATACATAAATATCTAAAAAGGTTTTACAAAGAAATGACACACTTTTTTGTTAAATCCTTGGGTTTTTGATGTATTACATTAAAATTGATTTGTCGACATTCAAAAAGGTTTCATGGTGTTTTAAAAGAGGGACGGACACTTTGTCAAATATTGGAGACAAGCCTATTATTCTGTTAAGATGATGTCTCTTTTCCCCATTGTTTTAGGACAAAATCTCAATGTCCTCCAAAATATTGGGGGGAGGAGGGTGACCCCCCTCAGCCTCAGGTGTCTGCCACTATTTGAAGGGTTTAAAAAAGGTTTATGTTAAAAGTTATATTTAATACAACTTTAATTTAACTTAAAGGTTTTAGTATAAAGTCAATAAGAAAATCCCCTCCTTTTGCAATATTAAAAGGAATTCTGATATATTTCTAAGGAGTTTTATCAAGGTACGTCACTCATAAAAATCATCAGAAGATAAAAGAAACATAAATAAATGAGAAAAAAGTCATTACACACGTTCATTTGATTCTTTCAACGATTCTCTGAATCTGATGGTTTTTTCTACGTTTTCTCTTGCTTTTATTCTGTTCTGTTGGCGCCTTTTCAAGTCCTACAAGCAAAAAAATTAATTACATGAAATTGAAAGCTGCAAGAAATGTTGGTGATGATACTATAGATAAAGTCATGTAAGTTTGTAAGTTGCCTTTTTAAAAAGTCCCTTTTCTGTCTAATCTGATTTTGTTACAGCCTATATAATTCAATATTTGAAGAAACTTCAAATTTTACAACATGAAGTAAAATAAATTCAATTCTCTAGAACTACTTTTATAAAATTATAGAAATACTATCTTCCCGATTTTTTTGGCAAGGACTTAAATGTTCCTAAAAAATCTTGTGGCATAGTAGAGTCAAACTCACTTAACACAGACATAAAATTCACAGTTATATTTCATAACATAAAGTGTCTTTTCTCACGGGGTTAATATGATATGATGCATTAATTAGATGCAAACAAGCAAGATGTTTGCTTTTTAATAAACAATAATTTCCACTCAGGCCCCATCCACCTACATTCTCTGGCTTTTATGAATATTTAAAATATGGTGCCAAGTAAACACACATTCTTAGCAACTGGAAAAAGGTTCCACCACCATAGAGTTGAAATGTTTTTGAAAACCAACCTCCTTTTCTAAGCATTTCATCATTTTCAGTTTTGCATCATTGCATTTTCCAAAGAATTTGCCATATGGATGCTAAAAAGACAACAAGGAATTTCTATTGCCATTGTTTTTCTATTAGAAAACAGAACAAGCTATATTCCTGGGACTGGGCCATCAGAATGAGGATTTCAAAGCTGATTCTGCTATTTGAAAATGATTTCTGCTGTTCCATAGTAAAACAGAATACATTGAAAGGGTAAAATAACTGATTCTAAACATCTATCAATATCATTATGTTTTTTTGCATGGGTTAGAATGATTATAGATACTGTAACCAGCCACTACTTCCTTAAATCTTGTACCTCTTTCTTACCCATTTTTCTCTGTACTGCTGTTAACACTGGAATCAACTGGAATCTATCCTTACACAGATAAACTTGCACTCTAAGGCTGAATTCACACTGGGCGCTTGTTGAAGTGTGTGAGTTTATGCTTGCTTGTTCCCACTTTGGCTGTTCATACTGGTCGCTATTTAAAACTTGTGCAACAGCATTGTTCATAAGAATTCGTTTGTTTAAAATGTGTTAATGTTTGTCGGAGACTGCCAACTTTGAAACACAAGAATTAGGAAAAATGAGGCGTACAATCATCTGTTAACAGAATCGTGAAAAATGGGCTGTACAATCATCCATTAACAGAAAACAGATGATAAAATGAGGTGCAAAGAGGGAGAAATCACTGGATCTAGCATCCCATCTTCTCAACTAGCCCCTAAAAGTAGATTGTTTATCGTTTGCAGTGAGAAACTCCTTGACTGTGCCAGCTTGTAACTAACCTAGCAGCTAACTAACAAGCAAAATTGCATTAACTAGTCTTTAATTGCCAATGTAATTTACAACATTCTCAACATAATTAACTAGTGTCTTTAATAAGATTCTATAGAAATTATCTGATAGCGACTAGAGGCGCTTTCAAAAGACTGCAGTGTGAACACAGCCTAGCACTATTATGGATAGCAGATCCATATTAAAACAGATCCAGCAGCTCTATTGTGAAAGCGAAGCCTGAATTCCATCATACACAACAACTTTCTACCTTTGAGCCATCAGCATACAGCTCTCCCTTGGAAGATAAGGATTTTAGTTGGCAGACCCCCATGTGGTGGGCTTAACAGTGCTGGATCTGTTCCAGTGCAAACAGGTATTTGCAGGGGTGTCGTGGCAAATGAACTCTAAAAAGGGCCAGAAAGAAAAATTTTCTGACAAAATTTCTTTGATTTCTTTTAATAAAAGAAAAGCATTGCATGTTAGTGTAAGGTGGGGGGGGGGGGGGGGGGGGGGGTTCAACTTCTGCCTTCGCTGGAAATATATTTAAAAGGCACTTTTTATCTTGTCTCTATTTTCCTCATACATACTGTGAACGTTCCTGGCACCTTGCAGCCCTATAGATCCGTAGATTAGGGCAAGAGTGTTATTACCAGAGGCGGCATCATGGTTGCCGCCAGAAGGAAAATTTTTTTTAATAATCTTAATGCTTCAAGTTCGCCAGAAATTGCAATTTTATGAGCAAACTTTAATAATAAAATCCTATTTTAAAATGAATCCTACTGGTCGAAAGCAATGGTATTGATTGACTTCCTTGCTCTCGTTTCAAATGTCAAATGTTTCAAATTTTCAAGTCTGGGACAAAATTTTCAAATCTGGTGATAGGCACAAGATTGGCATGTTGGAATTATGATGATGCGATGTTTTAGTTACCCCCATCATAGAAACAATGGAGGGCCTTTTGATTGTTGTGTTATTGCTATCACCAACACCTCTTTTGTTTTACCATATAGCACGTTTTGTTTTCCAGGTGTAAAGTTGTTCTGTTGTTGTGATCAAAGTTTTTTGGTAGAGAAAGTTTTCGTTCTTGCTTTCCATTCTTTATTAGAGCCTTTGGTATGAAGAATTCTAACATGGCACTCACTATTCCAGTCTGCAATATCATATGAAGTTATAATTTATGACCAATATTGACCAATTTCCATAACCAAATTTGGTCATTGAAGATTTGGATTTTAACTGACAAAATCTGAGCAGCAAATCACTTACCCTGGGTGCCAGAGTCTCAATTCTTTAGTCTCAGAAATATAATTTGAAAAAAGTCACAGAAAAATTTTGTTTGAAACCATACAAATAACAAGCTCAGCTTGTCAGAAAACTAAGAAAAAATGGTGTAATACCAACCGCAGCCCTGCTGTACCGGGCGCTGTCCCACAGTCTTGTGCCGAACGAAACCTGGGAGCCAGTATGCTATTGAAGTACTGTACCCGCATTAAAGGGGCGTGTTTCAGCATAGGCATTCTATACTGTTTATTCTCTTTCATACAGAGTGTTATATATGTACACAAACATATCAATATATCTATACATATATATACACATCTGTATGATATATTTTGTGATTATGAGTCCTTGCTAGCTCCTCAGCTAATCCACCAGGCAGAGCATTTCGGGGCTTATGATCAGTATGCTCTTTTACACCTGGGTGCCCCCTCACCCCTGCGTCCAGGGATGATGCCAGCAAAGGTGTGTTAATATGTTGTATATTGTAGCCATAGAGGCATGTATCATCCTTTGAATGTAGAAGTATGTTGCATATATAGACAAATGGTTATAAAATTGGGATATCTTGTTTATGCAGATAAATCGCGAATAGAAAAAGCATTGGAGTCTGGTGTGACATAATAGTAATGTTGATGGTGTGGTATCGAGGTATCTTACAATGTCATATGATGCTCAAAATTTAGTATGAGTTAACCAATCTCCAAGGTTGTTGTGCCTTTGTAAGGCGAGAATGGGGGTTTTTGACCATATGTTTTGTAATTCTTTATCCTTTGTTATAATATTCCAGTGTTTTTTGAGAATTTCACGGATGTGAATGGTGCGGTTGTCATAGGGTATAATGAAGGGTAAAACAGAGCCTTTCGGTGTGGAGAAACTGCCGTCATTTATTTGTTTAGATTCAAGTAGCTGCGATTGCGATAGTCTAATGACCTTATTGAACTGTTCATTTATATCATTGATCTGATATCCCCTTATGATGAGGTTGTTTTTTAATTCTTGTAATTTTGAATATAGCTCTTCGTCACTTGTGATAACTCTTCTGTAACGTAAGGCCTGGCTGTAAATGATTCCAGTTTTACAACTCCATGGGTGGAAGGAATCACCGTGTAAGAGATTGCAAGTGTCTGTTGGTTTTTGGTAGAGTGAGGTGGTAATTCCCCCCTCTTTGTGTAAGTTTATTGTTGTATCCAAGAAGTGTATATTTGAATTGGAATAATTTGCTTCAAACTTTATTGTTTTGTGGACGGTGTTGGTGTATTGTATAAAATTTTGTAGGTCCTCAAGGGTGTGTGGCCAAATGAAAATTATATCGTCGATGAATCTTTTCCAAAACATTGGAGTACGCCCCATTGGGGCATTTTGTAAAATATGTTGTTCTATAGTTGTCATAAATATGTTGGCATAGTTGGGAGCGAAGGGGCTCCCCATTGCAGTGCCTTGAATTTGTTGATAAAATCTACCATTAAAGGTAAAATAGTTGTGTTTAAGTATGAATACCATCATTTGTTTGATGTAACTTGTACGCATTGGCGGGGTGTCCCCATAATAATTCCGGATGGCCTCGAGGCATGCCTCGATCCCCTCGTCCTGGGGGATGTTGGTGTATAGAGATTTGACGTCTAGCGTAACCAGCCACGAGTTTGGTGGAATGCTAGTGTGTATTTCGAATATTTGTTGTAAAAAATGAGTGGTGTCTTTTATATATGAGGCACTTTCCTCGACTATCGGTCTAAGATAGTGATCAAGATATGACGAGAGTTTCTTCGTAGGGGAGCCGCAACCCGACAGTATAGGCCTCCCTGGGATGCCCTCCTTGTGAATTTTTGGTAACAAATAGAATACCGGTGTTCGAACCTTCGTGTTAGGTGTAAGATATTCGAAAAGTGTTTCATCAAATTCGAAAATTTTTTGAGCAAGGATTAGACGTCTACAATACTGTATCCCCAGATTCATGAGGCTTTGGTACCCAGGGTACAAATCACTCTGTAGTAGAAATTGGTAAATTCTTACTCAAAAATGAATTGCACCTCAATAATATGGAAAGTACTTTCGTTCAGGTAATCTATGTCGCTAAGAAGTTTGTTTCACTTTTCAGTTTTACCCACACCTCAAGTTTTAAAAACTTTCCGACACAACAATGATTTTTCCGAAAATCCGTCAAATTTTGAAACCAGAGAGGGCCACAGCCCCCTGCCTCCCTGACCACGACGCCCTTGGGTATTTGTCAAAAATGCATGTTTATGGTACTTTTATAGCAATTTGAACACAAATATGATTAGAAACCATTAAGTGATACAACCCATCAAGAAGTGGATAGGAATATCTGAATTTGGTGGTTGCTGGGCAAAGTTTCCAGTCCAGCAGGGTAAATAGAGAGCTGGAAGAAAAGTATTGGGTTGGGGCTGAAAATTAGATTTCAGGGTGAGGGGCAAGTTCACAAGAATTTGTTTTGGTTTTTCGAAAAATGTTTTATCTTACATAACAATGGTCGATATCATCTCATAGTAAAATGCACAGTGATAAGCATTAGACGTTGTATCTATGAACATGTCGACGTAAATTGTATATATTTGGTATTAATATAGCGGCGAAACTGAAGAATTATGTGGGATATATTACATACTGTTACTGTCTTTAACGACTAATATTGTATATTATATGTACAAAAACCTTTTGGCAACAGCAACACAATATACTATTTGAGAACAATCACAAACCTCGTCATGGCAGCTGTTCAATACATCGATGAATTCTTTACATTCTGAATGCAAATGTGTAGCTAAAGATGGGTGCATAACTTCTTCTGAATACAGACATATACTAAGTGATCAACAAGTTTTAAAACATTCTTACCAAAACATGAGCAACCTCTTTCCAGTGGCCACGCGATGATACACTTCAAAACGAGGACTTAGGAAATGGGGAATCGTCTAAAATGGCAGGAGGAGGTAAGCATAAACTGCAATATGTCGAGCAGTCGACACCAAAGTTTTTGAAAGATTTTAAAGCGAGGGCAAATTTTAAGGAGGGCCCTACCATTGACACGAAAAGGCAGAAACTTGAAAGAAAAATTGATGATAGTGATGACGAAAGAGATGATAGGGAGGACGAGAAACCAGTTATTTGTGTTTTAAGAGAAGGGGACTTGACAGAAGAAGAGTTCAAGCGGCTTCAAGGAAATCAACAAGATGAAACAGAATCTACAGAATCAGCTGGAAAAGTTATGTTCAAGAAGCCAACAAAGAAATCAGACGAAGAAAAGCATGAAGTAAATGCGTCATCGAATAAGAAAACGAAAACAAGTAAAGAAAAACAGAAGAAACAGAGCAAAAAGTTGGACAACAAGAAGCTTTTATCATTTGATGAGGAAGATGAATAGCATAACGTTTAATGGTGGCTAATATAGGGATCAAAAACGACATAAATGATCCAACTCAGCCAAGAAGAAAAATCCCAACTTGGGTCAAAATAACAAGTCAGCCAATTGTTTCGGCACTCCAATTTAAATGAGCTCTGAAACACTCAATTTTTCACAAATTTTACACTGAATGTTTAAACATGCGGAGTATTTAATGGTTTAAACATTTTGAATTAGGTGCAGTGAACCGAGAGTCCAGGGTGGAGTCCATGTAAACCTCACACCCAATTGTGGTCAGTGAAATAGCTTCGCCAAAGGTTTTACAGCTTAATGCTAATGTCAAAAGTTTGTATTATATAATGGGTGACAAAAACTGTAAATTAGACCTTCGCCAAAATTTGTTTTTTATGAATCATACTCAAACACGGAGCCAACCACCAACACTGTTCTTTTTTTCCTTTTTTAATACAAACATTTTTACACTAACACTCTTCTTTTCTTCCTTTTATGCCAATGCACTAAAGAAATTATGAAAATCTCCATCTTAAGTAACATTAATTCCACCCAGGCAAGGAGGTTAACAAACTATAAAGTCTCACAGTAATTACTTTGTTTATTTGCCTTACTATTGAAGAAAAGGTTCTGTCCAAAGCATTTTCAAATTATCCCTTTTTGCTGATTGTGAATAAGATAATTATCAGTTGAAAAATGTAGGTATTGAATACAGTGATAAAAGTGAATATGCTTGCTCTGCATGAAACAGACAATTTTGGTATTTCAGCCAAAAACATTTCAGCCTAAAACACATTTTCTTTCAAAATAAAAATGGGAGACTTGTTGGTTGTTGTGTGTCCCAAAATAAAAATGGGACACAGCAGTTTATTGGTTGTAAGCCAATATAATAGAGATTACTTGAAAGCATTAAAACGCTTCTCTGTATCACCATGGAACTAATGTATCAAATTTATTTTTATGCTTAGCTCCAGTTGAGAACTAATAAAAAACTACACAATAATCATTTCCTATTTTTTCTATGAACAATGTATAATCAAAAATGCCTTTTGATATGAAGTTGTAATAAAGTTATAAGACAAAAGAGATAAGAACTACAAAAGTCTGGTGTTTGTAAAAGCAAGTAAAATATTATATATATTCTTAAGCCATTAATGAAAAGGCCAAATCTCTTAGCCGAATTATCTTATACATCTTAGCTGTCACTTTGCCATTTAAAATTAGTAGCTTTAATAAAAATAGTAATCAAATTCTAAAGCTATCAAATGATTTAGAATCGACAACTAATTCTGGTATTTATTAAAACAAACTGTTACAAAATTGTATAGAACCTAAGGTATTTCAACCACCTAAATTAATGGCATGCATGGAGTTTTCATCAAAATATATTTAAAATTTGTATCACTTTTAAACATTGATTCTAAGATGATGGAGTCTGACAAAGGTTTTGACAGGGAATGTTGATGAAAGAGATTAAAAAATTCTAAGTAAATGAATTTTCATAAAAGACAACGTTAGAGAAAACAACTCTGCCCTCCTTTTCTGGATCCCAACAACTGCCGGAAAGTATCTGAATACTTGTATAGATCTTATGTCTGTCTGACCAAAACTTTGTGCTTTCTGGCAATCCTGGGTAATTTGTTCTTTTTCATTATTCTTACTTGATCTTGCCCAGAGCTGACACCCTTACAAGGTGTCATGGGTCAGCTGAAAGTTTCCAACAAAGGCTAAGAACCTCTGTTACAAGCCAATGAAGTATGATCTCCCATTTGCATTGTGAATGTTACTGCATTGTTGACCATACTCAACACACCACTCATACCAGACTTTAGTGCGTGAAATTTTCCGCCAAAAATGAATGCTAACTAGAGCACCATCAGGAACATACATTGGATTCTAATTAAAAATGAAAAAAAAAATTTTTGAGATGTAAAATGCTTAATTTTGCAGTCAGTATTCATTCAATGCATGTGAAAAATTCATATCAAGGATTTTTAGATAAGAAAACTAAGTGGTAGCAGGCAAAATTTGAGTTCAGCTCAAGCCTATAGCTTAAAACAACTGCGCTGGAACTCCTTCAAGATAAAAGCATTTGAACAGATATGTGCCGTTTTAATATCTTAAAGGGAAACATATCCAAAATATATGGATGGATTGGAATGATTTTATGATTATGATGCTGATGATGACAATGACAACATGATTGATGACATTGAAGTTGATGATGATGCTTGATGAAAATGGGTTCTAGATTATTATTATGAAAAAGAAAATAAAATGTTGAAAAGTGACAACAAGGATGTTTACTATAGTAATAAATATGATAATAAGTCTGATGAGCATTGTGACATTGATTGATGATGACAAGGGTGCTTGAATGAGCCTTATAACTCCTCCTTGAAATTACATACTTTGATGGGAAAGAAGATTGGAAACCAGCTAAACATTCCCTCAGAGTGTGTCTTTGGGTGTATACCTGGAATATAATGTTAATAAAATGACAAAACTGCAAAAATAAGTGAACATAAATGTTTGTGAACTGTTACCTGAACACAAATATAGACTGTTACCTCTTGTGACAAAGTTTTCAGTGCAAATTCATTCACTCGGATAAGACAGACCATTATTAGTCATGGAGAGGCGATGATGACTAGCAATTATGAGAATAATATGAAAATTACTTAACAGAAGTCCCTTGATATGTAAATTAGTTGTACAAAAAGTTCTTATGGGAACAATTCATTCTTACCATATAGGCATTTCTAGCAAAGCCAATCTAGGCAGGTCATGCTACTGTACCCTATAATTTCTATGTGTCATGTTCAAACATTGTTATGTAATGAGATATCAACCATAACCATAATATGTTTGTGAGTTGCTTTTAGAAAAGTTCTTACTTATCATGACATCTTTGTATAAAACTGCATCAAAATAGCCAGCTATTCCATGAATAACATTTGCAGTTGCAACTTGAAAATGTGCTCGTTTGTAACGGGTGTTATCAATTGGAACATCTACAATATAAAATTTGACATAGTTAACATTTAAAATTTGTTTCTAGATTTAAAATCAAAACAATTTCAAAATGTATGTTATTCTGTGCCAATGGCAGCAGGAAAAGGCATCCGGTTGGTTAAACTCTGGTTGACCCTTGAATTCAACTTCAACAAATGCCAGAAAACTAAAAACACATCAACAAAACACACGCAAAGTTATAGGGGCTTCAATTTTGGTTTTATCATTTCAAATATAATCCTAGTTGAGTTGAAACATATGGCATTTTGTAATCAAGCCATTTCAAAGCACTAAGTACCACCCCACAACAAAACTTATGTCATAATGAAAAATCCATCCTACCAAATTTTGGGGGAGCAAACTTTCCCACCCAATGCAGCATCCTTGGATAAAAAGTGTGCCATATCACATATAGCACTTGGAAACTGAAATCAATATTGTTTCAGCTGGTACTTTTTCAGATCACCTGGTGTAATTCAAACAAAATGATTGACATTTTTACAAACACAATTGTAGCTTAAAGAAAATTTCGAATTAATACAACATTAAAATAGGAACTTTAAAATAGAAACAGATTGTATAAGGAGCTCAAAAATGAATCCCTGATATCTAATCTCACATAATAAATAAGTTGACTAAGGAGAAATCCATATATTGGACTAAGCAAGGGGCAATGCAGGAAAAGTTCTGCAAGCCAAAAGTCAATTATCCAACAAAAGCCCAAAATTTCCGAAGAGAACGCTGATTGAGGGGGGGGGGGTGGAAATTCAAACAATTTTTCATAAATGCTTGAGCAGGGCTGCCAAGAGCAACGACTGGCCCAGGGGTGGGCCCAATGCCTGAGCTCCTTCCTAGCCAAAGCAATAAACCATAAATGCGATTAATATGGATTCAAAATGGACAGAATTTTCTTTATCTTTTATCAATTTATATTCGTAAAGCATTGTTTAACATTCCTGTTACAGAAATGATTTCTAAAAAAGCAGATTAATTACAAGAGGGCTTACAGGCCCAGGACAATTGCCCCCTTGCCCCTTCTCAGCGGGCCTGCGCTTGAGTTTTGCAGATTGTTGGTGAGTGGGCTTAAGAGGAGTGTTAGAGTATTTGGACACTGAGTAGCCTTTGCCTTTACGATGAAGAAATCTCCACTATGCTCGCAAAATGTTTGACATTGTTAGGGGGCATTCGAAGGGGTTTTGATAAGTTGTTCATCACTTTCAAAGATTGTATGGAAAACAAGTTTGATCTAAGCTTTATTATAATATTTATAATCGATCTAAGCTCTTTACTCAAATTGTTATAAATGTCCATTTCTTTGTTACAATTATAATCTCCACATCATCCTCTTCGTAAACAAATAGAAAGATGACATAAACGTCTTCTACAAAGGACCTTTTTGGTATTGAAATATTTATGCAGTCTCTGTATTTTGCTCCTTCCTTTAGTATTCCCGTTCTACAAACAACACTATAGAGACTATTATGAAAATAAGGCCAGCCGGTCCTTTCAATTCTATCCCTGCCACTGTAATAAGGGGTGTTTATCTTAACGTTTTTAGATTAAAAATTTCGTTGGATATTTCTTTACATTTTAAAGTTGTAGATATTTGTAGATATTGTTGCAAATGACCAGTTGCGGTTTTAGGAGTGCCAAAGGGGCCATGTCCCGCAAAAAAATAGAAAATTTAAAATAAAAAAATGCCCTAAAATCGCCGCTGCAAATGATACATACATGGAAAGTGCTACAGAGTTCTGATTCTCTCAACTCTTATCGTGATATCTAATCTTAAGACCATACTTGACATAAATTAAATCCTGGAAATCAAGGCAAATAAAGCTGCAGACTCTTTTAGCATCGCACTCAACATTTTTAACAAGATCATTGATACCGATGAGAGAAAATTACGGACCCGAAACATAGACCAGCGGTACCCTAGCAGATAATGTTACCCGTTCCGAGTTTCTGCCATTCTGTACGACATAATGTTTTCTATTGACTAAAAAACTCTAAACAATTTGAGAAGGTCACCACACACTCCATTGCTTTGAAACTGCACGATAGGCCTTTAAGTCACACCTTGCCAAATACTTGGAATAGATCACGGACCACATCTCACGCTTACCTACTTGGTGTATGCTCAAAAGCATTTGTATACAATTGCATAAAATTAATTGGTGTATACATTTCTTGAACACAAAACTGGTTAATAACCGTATTGCCATTGTGAAACCTGAACTGATTTGCAGTAAGAAGGCCATTTCCAATTGGTGACAGCAAATCAAATATAATTTTCACCAACTGTTTTCCAAAAATGGCAGAAGTGAAATTGTTACTATAGCTCTTATTTATTCAGAGTTTTCCCTTTTATGGACAGGAAATATATTTGCTTTTATCAATGCAGATGGAAACTATAAACAAAAATCACTAAGAAACAAACCTGGGTTAGGATGCACAAATTTGAAGCAGCTCTGAGGTTCAGCTGCAACATTAACATTCTGTAGCCGCACGACATATGGCGTTTCAAATGATGCCTGTAAATATGAAACATGGTTGCTAACTTTATTATTGCTTCATTGTTTAATAACACCATACATTCGGTGAAAAGGTGGACCTGGTAAAATCAGATGTTTCATAAAAAGCAGAACGCCTGTGAAGATTCACGATAGAAGTTTGCTTATAAACGTAACTCTCACACATACCAACTGGCTATCATAAATTTCAATTTGAAGTTCTGTTGTTACAAAAATTGTATACTGACTTATAATGGCAAGATGTAAAACCCTTTGAATAAAGTTTTGTCTATTATGAAGGAAAATTTCCTAAATTTCACAGAAATCTCTACTGCTGTTCTATGTTTTCTAATTTTTTGGTGTTGAAATTTCCAAAGCTCAATTTCGTCTTACTGCCTTCTAAGAGCTCTACTGGCAGCTATCCTGGTTTGAAAACTTTTGGTAAATCAAAAAGCTAGATAAGTTAGATGTAAACTTACGTTAGCAGAAACAAAGCTTTATCACATTTTAACAATTTTAAAAATGGGACAAATCGCCTTATATTTGAGAAAGCAAGAGCAAATGATTTATGTTCTATACTCCAAACCCAGATACATTTTCCCAGTACTCATTTGGTAATAGCCCAATGCTTATCCTCAACCGATTGTTGGGGAAGATAGAACTCTCAGAATGCAAAAAGGCCCTGCCATTTTGAGCCCTCTTGAAATTATCCAATGCGAAAGGCTTAATTTATCTCATTCAAATGAGACCTTGTTTTAGGCTTGCCTCTCAAGAAAATTACCATTATCTCTAACTTTTCCTAAGCGTTATTTTTAAAATTTTCTTCGCTTAAAAAAGGTACAAACGGGATGAAAGAAAACACATATAAAGCCACACGACTGAAATATCTTTTAGCAAAAGAAAGATTTGTTTCATTCATAAAAAATAACTTGCCTCAATAGATTTCCCAGGTTCCCGACACATATTAGCCTCGGTGTGCAACTTCATTGACATCATAGGAGCAATGTATGACGTGTACTCACATGGAATACTAATTCCATCCTCTGCAAATGGGAAAAATCGTATCAAAGTGTCCTGTCACAGCCCACGACTTTAGAAGCAAAGAAACTATAAATGTTTATAGGTTATGAATACGAAGAGCATATTCAGTTTTCATTTTGATTATCAATTGTTATGTTGCTTGCGGGAATTTCAACTATCCATCAAATAGACGCGGTCTTCAGAAAGAAGTTGAAATATTTGAGATAAGAAAAAGCTGAAATGGATAAAAATAATCAGGCTTTATATCACTTTTGCTTAAAAGCTTGCTAACATAAATATATTTTGTTTGATATCTCATTCGAGTTAAACATCTATGTAGTAATTACAAAATCTTTTTCAGATTGACTTTGTCAAATAACAAAGAACCTAGTTGCTAAATGACACAAAAACATGACATACCTTTAAGATATTTTTGGGCGCCATCAAGGCATTCAGGAGAGAGTTCATTATCACCAAAAGAGCCAAGCAACTCACTGACCAAAATATCTGCCTAAAAATGACAATTTGTAGTTTTTTAAAAGTCTTGTTAAAGTAATGTAATAGCTCATAGCATGAATAAATATAACAACGGCTCATTTAATTAGGAAACTTTTTATTTTGAATTTCAGTTGAAACTACAATTACAAATCTCTCTTTTACATAGGTAATTTGTAACAGCTTATTCAATAAGAAAAAGGATTCAAGATAGATGAGTTAGAAGCACACCTTTTCGGTAGGATTAAAATCTCGCATATCACTGGACACAACTGTAACAGCTCCATTCCATTCTTCTTCATTCAAAGTTTCAAGTCTAGATTAATAAAAATAAACAGTTTTCAAAAATATATACTTTAGATAAAAAAACAAGCCTACTTTACAGCAAAGTATTATGAAAACAATTAAAAGCAAACACAAGTTAATTAAAAATACCATCTCCTGCAATTTTCAAAAACATTTAGTTAGGAAAGTTTTAAGCAAAATTAAATACTTCCAAACATATACCAAATGGCCAGTGAATCAAATAAATTGCGATTGTCAACAAACTTTAATGACCTATAATTGTTGATATATGTGGAACGAGTAATAGAGGGAAAATGCTATTTTATCTCAACTTTAAATCTACTCAAGTTGATTTCGTATAAGCTGACACTCAAAAATTACAAAAAATGCAAAAACAACCCTGTGTAACAAGTGCGGAGAGTTCTTTCTTCATGAGAAAATAGCAGGTAAATATGACAGGGGTAGCCAAATTTGTCAAGGAATGCGTAAAATTTGCAATAATATTTCCAGCACCTGTTGTCAAATAGGAAAAATTGTTTAAAACTCTAGAAAACTTCCTGTATTGTTATGTCGTGTCAAAAACGTAAGACTAACTGGGGACAAAAATTCTCAGCTTGCAGAGGATGAAAAAATGCCTGAGTCATTCAATTTTTTCGAAAGGGGATTTCCGTGCTTGTTACACAGAGATGTTAAGAAAAAGCATAGCGCCTAATTGTGAGCAGGATTGCACAAGATACTAGTCACAAAAGGGTTCTAACAAAAACCTAAATAAAAAAATCAGTGAGACAGCAGCAGAGCAGGTAACCTACGTTACAATGGCATTCATATTCTTCTCAATTGCAAAAAGCTTCACTTTTCTGTCGGCCATTTTTGCTGCTTGGAAGGATGCTCGCACTAAAGGGCCTCGCCCTGCACCAACAACCATGATGACACTGTGAAAAACGATACACAAATCTTTCACTTACTTGCTACATACATTCATAAAGCCACTGTAATTCACACCCATAACTACTTGGCCAATGAAAATATAATTCCAAAGTAATTGATTGCACACGAAAGGCATTTGCAACAATAAACACAACACACACAAAAGGCATTTACCACAATGAACACAGCGCATTATCTACGCAGACTCTGCTGATGGGTTTTGAGAAAATTTAAAAAAGGGGAAGCATTTCAATTAATATTTATAATCCAGATATATTAATATATAAAACATTATATAACCCAGAGATGATCAGCAATCGTGGCCACTTAACTATGTTCAAAACCAAGATTTTATTTCCTGTTGCGCAGACTAATCCTTCTTGAAGAAGCAGAGTCAGAGAGCCGAGCACAAACAAATGAAATTAATGCAATGCTTGATCTCCGAAAAAATTTAAACTTCCGAATGCTGGAATGTAAGCTCAAAGCGTTATTTTTGTGCCTCCAACACCAAAGATAATAATTTCTGCACTGACAACTTTAATAATCATTTTTGCCTGGTTGGCAATTCTAAAGGAGAAGAAGGTTTCAGCACTTCTGTTACAAATCTATTTTTCATTGGTGACACAGATATTTCTGACTTACGTTTATAAATGAATATGTAATATAGAGCTTATTCAGCCCAGGGAACGGTAAGTTAAGTAACTTGTTGCATTAGCTCACCTGGTGACTTCATTTTTCTTTTCATCTGAAACTCTGTCTAGTAGGGCATGGTAGACTGCCTAAAGGATAAAAGAATAACAAAAAATTGCAAAAGTTAAAAGTTAAAATGGGCAGCACATGGACATAGTCAGAAGCAGCACAATATAACGAAGAGCAATCCAATGCAAATAAAGAAATATTTGAAAAACCAAAAATTAACAAATAAAGAGGAAGTTATACCAACATTCAAGAACAAATGACTTACATTTCGCCCTAGCATACAAGGTCTCCCAATTATCTTTATAACCAATACCCCAATAAAAAATAAAGTTTTCGAGAAAAAAAATTCTTTGTGAAGAAGAAAGGTTTTTAAAAATGCTGGAAAATGTTCAAGCCAAACTTTTACGAAATCATACCAGTTACCTTTTCATATTGTGCATATTTAATAGGATCTTTTTCAAATACTTCGTAGGTCTGTGATTCTAAATTGTCCATCAAAGGCTGCAGAAATAAACAAGCAGGATAAATAAAGTAATATTGATCCTTTAAAAATAAAATAACAATATGTCTGGCATTAACTTGAAAAATATATTTATAAGTACACTTATAAAGAGTATAATAAGTACACAGAGTATAATAATTTTGTTTAACTATGTTAATTCGATATCGTAAATCTACAAATTAATCACAAAGGTTACAATTAAACGCTTTAACAAATAGTGTACAACAAAAATGCATCAACATGACAGCCTGCCATCAATCTTTGTTCACTATAATGTATACATGACTGAAAGTAACGGGTATGTATATTTTAATTGCTAATGAAAGATTTGACGCTGCAGGCAGTAAACCAGCAGAAGCTAAAGAAACGAAGATGAAAGAAGCTTGCATATCATGCACTGAGGGTAAAGGTATGAATCAATTGTTTGCATGGAAGCAACACTTTGGCTTGGCTCATTTTTGGCTTGGCTCATCCGATAGAAGCATGGCCTCATTGAACTCTTATCCGCCGTACGATTGCTTGGAATTTGCTGAATAAAATATTTTTATTTATTCTCTTAGTGGCATTTTGGCCAGTAGGGCAATGGCTCCCTTTTACAAATCGTGACAGGTTTTTTGGAAATAACAGCTTCTAGAAAGCTAAAATGTAAGAATATTTGTCTTTTTCACAGATCTCCCTCCCGCAAAAAAATTAACCACCACTGCACATGCATTTTCTGTATACTGAATATGCATCCATCCCAAAAACAGTTTACTCCAGGAAGAATAAACCAATTGAAAAGACTAGATAAAACTAAAGCTGCAAAAAATTAAAAACGAACAGTGAATACCAACAAACCTGAAGGGGTGCTTGGAGATAATCTTCGTATCCTTTAGCAAACTGTGCAACTGGATCAGCTGGTGGTTGCGTCTGACAAGAAATACCAATAAAAACTACGTGAACCAGGAAGTTTCTTCTAATTTATGTTGGTCAATATTCATATAAAACTGTTATAAAACTGTATAAAACAAGTATTCAAAGTTTGGGGGGAGGGGGGGGGGGAATCTGTTACTGAAGGTGTCACATCAGTGAAGTTGGATTAGGAAGCTGATTGCTTTGTAGATACTAGGAAAAGATGATTGATAGGTTTAGATAAACACGAATCTTTCATGAGTGTGAATATGGAGTGCGAGCTAACAGCTACATTAAAAACCATAAATTAGCTACTATGTGGACAAGTTACCAACATAAAAAAACAAACCCGCAACCTTTGAACACCGTTTTAATTATAGTTTTAGATGACAAACACCATAAATCTGTAAATATTCTTCAAGCAAGTCAGTGAAATCTCCATACAGCGGATCCTTTTGGGTTATTGTCTATTGCAAAGAGATTATATTTTAAAGGCTTTTTGGATGCAGAACGAAAAATACATTAGATACAAAGCCATTTTTCTGTCTGGGGATTCTATTATTGCGTTGCCTGTTGTTTGGGAGATGTCCTGTAATGAAGTTTTAGTTCAATGCAAAGTGCAGTGGGAAATTTCCCCATTGAGCTCCAACATCAAACATCAAACAAAATCTTGTTTCAATGAAAAACACAGCGGGAAATTTCCCCATTGAGTTCTAATATCAAACAAAAACACGCTGTAAATGAAACAAATGCAGAACCTGTTATAGATAAAACATCACTTACCAAATAAAGATGGTCAAGGTATTGGTAATAAGAAGAAATATTCTACAATTCAAAGATAATTGTTGTCAAAAAGGGAGCTTGTTCAAATCCATTTTATAATATTTGCCAAAAGTACTATTAAAACCTCTATTAAAAATTGTTTTGTGTATCAGATAACTTGGTGAAAAAAATAATGCTCATACGCAAAAGTTAAGCATATGACACTCAATATCAAATGGAGAAAGCAACAGTGAAAATATATGTTCTATGAAAAGTCTGTTTCTCTGGTTATTTTACAAAAACTTTTATTCAGAAATAAATACCATAGATATAGCAAAATACTTCTAAAATTGTATACCTTCATTTGTGCAGTACCAGATATGATAAACTGTACATTTAACTGTAAGACAAAAAAAAATTCTTATAGTCAAAAGAGTATCAAAATAATTTGTAACATATCAATGCCACATGTTAAAATGTCATTTCAATGCCACTGTACACTGCACATAAAATGTTAAAGCCACTTTAAAGACTATTAGACTTGCATTACGACCCAAGAAGAAACTCAATAACTTCATTACCTGTCGAAAGATACTATTCAAGTCTTTTGTCTCTATGTGTCACCTAATATCATAACTAGAAATGACACTACCAAGTATGTTGCTACAGCCATTGAAAAAATGTATTACCTTAAACAGCCTTCGAACAAATTCCTGGTAAGCTTTTGATAAAACTGGATATCCTACAAAACATACAGCACAGATAAGGAACCTGCTAAATGTATGTAATTATCATTGTACTGATGAGGTACATTAAAAAACATCCACGAAGCAACTGCCAGTTTAGTGGGAAGGTTAGCCATGAAAGATGTTTGTAAATTGCAGTTTTATTGAAAAAAATTCTATAACATACTCTAACCTGAAAACTAAGAAGATTTCTCAAAATCTTGGAACCTTTCATTCAAACATCGAAAATAATAATGAAGCAAAACGAAAATTTAAACACGTATCAAAAAAAGATAAACAAGAATAAAAGACCATGAAATCAGACCACAAACCTTTTTTATTTGAAAGAAAAACGCTAGTTGGGATGCTAACTGCCTTCACAGGCTCTGCAAACCATCTGTCAAGTTCTTCCTGACTTGGAAGTTCTTTGCTATTTAGCTCCAGAACTGTTAAAGCAAAAGCAAATATTCAAGAAACTGGCTAAAATAAGGGAGTACAGAATCTTCCTGGTGTCTTTTGATTTGGTCAAATCGTACGAAAAAATCCCTACAGAATAAAGATAATCTGCGAAAACAAAATCACACTTATTGATTATGCGAAGTTGAAAATGAAAGACCCTTGCAGAAGGGTTTGAAAACTATTCTCCACCAGTCCCTTTAAACTTCTACAAAGCTGTGGGCATCCTTTACCACGAAACTGCAGAGCACGCAAGAGCATATATTTTCATCTTTTAAGGGCAAATATATTTGCAAAACATTTCATCTTATTAAAACAAGACTTCATTAAAACGTTCTAGATGAAAATGCATTTATCGACTAAGAACTTCTAAGAAATATCTCAATATTGAAGTTAAACAAAGATAAGAGAAAACACTTTTTGTTCAAATGATTGTCATACAACATACCAAGTGCAATTTTCCGGCTTTGATCACACAGAAAACGTAGCTGGTTCCACCTAACAAAGAGAAATAGCGTTTCTGAACCTGTTCAAAGCTTTTGAGGCCATATTTTTGTCATTGAGTTTCAATGTCTAATTTTAAAAAAAAACTGCTAAACATATTTCCTCAATAAATTTTGTATGCATTCCCGTAATTTCTTCCAATTTTGCATTAAGAAACTTATGTGATTTTTCAGAAATTTAATTTCCGTCAAGGCTCGCCTTTCTTCCGTATCAATGAAGTTTGAATCTATCGTCTTTGCGATACTACACGGGTAGTTTTCAACATTATACTGATAAAAAGTCACCTATATTGCATAGCAGTACCACGTGTGAAATTAAATTGAACAACTGAAAGATCAAAAGCAAATAATTAAATAAAAGGCTTTGATGAAAAGCAAAGAAAGGTAATGAATGCACAGCCTTGTAATAATTGAATACAAAATTAGATAAAAAGATGATAAAAAAAATCTTCTTGTCTTACCAGCACCAGGTGTCATCTTTCTTGCTACTACTTATTATGACCTTTAAAGATTTTATTTGAGATTAGAAAACAGAGAGGATTGTTATTTATCAAATATAATCAAGGCAAAAATTGCAAGAAGTATTTGAAACAGCGACTATTAGTTAGGATCTGAGGTACAATTAAGAATCAAAGCTGCCGAACTTGTAGCTTTGCTATCAAACTTCCTAAAACTACGAGAACTGTATGACTTAAAGATTCTCCAGCTAATGCATGGAATAAAACATAATAATGAAAATGTGCCACAAGCCCTGTGTAACCTTATGAAAACAAATAACTGTAGACATAAATATAAAACCCGGCAAATAAATGATTTTCAGAAAAGTAAACCGAATAAGCGTTGGGGGTGATTAAATGCTACAAAATTAGGGGGCACAAACTATGGAATAATCTCCTAAGGCCTATAAAAGATACAAAAAGAAAGAAATTTTACCTTATTACTCAAAGAACAAATCTGTCAAAATAGAGTTATTAAATGAGAGAAAAATGAAACGTAATCCACAGGCTATATCATCTTGTTCCAGTTTATTGAGTATATAGCCAACCTTGTTTTTGCTATTGTAATTACTGCTTTGCTCTTTTTCTAATTGTACCTTTTGTTAACGGCCCAAGCTAGATAAGTCCATACTTTTCTTGAGTCGTGTCTATAACAGTTTTAATAAAGTACTCATCTTCTGTAGTATACAAATAAATTTGAATTGATTTGAATTGGAACGGCGTTAAAAATACATTTAATATCCAGTAAGCTATGCTTGCTGTTGTTAGGTAGAAAAATACGTACATCTGGTTCATCTTTGATAATACTGAAATCTCTGTTTGTTTGGCATGAAGTGATTGGAACTTGCACCCAAACCTTAAAACAATAAAAAGGGGCAAATTTATGTTTGTATTGATGTGACGTCAGTGCTTGGCAACAAAAATCCACTTGTTTCATAAGATTATTACCTCTGTATAATTTTATCAAATACAGCTACAAAATTTTTGGCAGTGGATTCCAAGATTTTGATAGTAACTTGTTTAATTTTGTCACATGACCTAAACATTGAGAACACTCCTAAGCCCCGATCAAGGGAACTGAACATTTCACTGAGCAACGCTCAACATGCCTGCTCAGTGAAAAGTTCAGTTCATTTGACCACTTGCTCAGGTTTGTTCAGCCCTGTTCAGTCCTGCCCAGAGATTTTTGACGGCGATCAAAAACATTGAGAGTCATTAAACACTTCTTTTGTTCGAGATGTTGTTTAGAAGTGACTAGCTCCCCAACGAAGCCAGTGGCCCTAGTGGTGCTCAATTTGCGCTTCCCTAACTTGCACAGTGAATTCAGGTTTTGCACTATGAATACCCTGAGAGTTTTTGTTGATATTTGGCTCACTAAAACCGTTTAATTGTGTCATGAAAGCTCGCTATTTTGACAACATAAAGATGGCCTTTTTATTTGCAGCAGTTTTGCGAAAAATTATCAGTTCTCATTGCGGAGGCACACACATTAATCATATTCTTTGCTCATAGAATTGTTGGGTGCAATGTTCAGTTCGTTTGACCACTCTGTACTGAGCAGCGAGCGTGACAGAGCTGAGCAGAGCTTGGCAAGACTTGCAAATGTTGAGTTCGTTTGCTCAGTAGGATGTTCAGTTCGTTTGACTGGGGCTTTAAATGTTTAAGAACATTGCCTTTTTGCAAAACCTCAATGAGATATTACCATTTTAAAAAAACCTTATAATTTCAAGTGCTAGCATAAAAATTAAAAAATAAATGATAACGAAAGTTTTATGTTTAAAAAAAACCTTCAACAATACAATTTCAATTTGACTGACCTGTTGTAGATGGGAACCAAGTACACTGCTGTTTAAAACTTGAGCTAGTTGAAAATTGTCAGGTCGTTTCAGTTTGATAAGCAGTGATGGCATACTGAGGTGGCAAGCAAATGATATTTCTTGAAGAAGAATCTAAGAAAAATATACACCATTATCAAGAACCAATTTCCTTGCATATAAATTCTGATAGGCTGTAAAGTCTACTTTTAATGCTGTGTTTGATTGTGCAAAATTTTAATGCTTAGATATAGAACACAAGTGGGGCAGCTAGAGCCTCAAAAAGCTTAGATCCAAGAAATAGATCCAATTTAATTTAATTTTTCCCGCTTGCAAAAAGGCACATACACCAAATAAAAAGTTGTTGCTGAATCATTTAGAATTCTCTAGCAAGATTTCCTCCAACATCATGAACAAATATCATCTGAGTTGAAAGAAACAAGGATATTTAGACAACCACCAGCTGAAGAGGCTAACATTTTAAAGTCTAAGTCAAAACTTGAATGTACCTTTAACGAGTTTTTTTGCACCCTTTCATCATTTGATTCTAAATCAATCCAAGGTGAGACTTTACCTACTACTAAACTACTCCAGTCTGCAAAATAAAAAACATTATAATTCTAGTTTAGATATATTGAAGAACTACATATAACAAGAAACTACAATTAAGGAGGCAACACATAGCTCATCTTACAACAGGAACTAAAAAGAAAAGTCATCAAGATCCTCCTGAAAAACTTTTTAGATAACATCCACAATGTTTTGACTTTATTTCATCATTTTAATCTTCATCAAAAATTATACAGGAAAATAATGCAAACAATCAAATTTTCTGTTAAAACAGTTCAGTTCAACCATTTTCTGGCTTTTCAAACAGATCTACTGAATATTTGGGTTTATTTCTAAACTGTCTCATTCTACTTTGTTTTAAAAGGGCACATTCAAATGTGCTTTTTTCACAGAGGAGTAATGCAAAAGCAGAGCAAAACAAGAAACATTTCCATAAATTTTATATGAAAAAATAGTACTACTTTAAATGAGACCTTTTAGTTAGGGCTGTAACAGGGGTGGCTGGGCATAGAATAATATTTGTATCAGCCTGCTGAATTTGAGAAACTGAGCACTCACCCCTAGAGCCCTTTTCTCTTTTGAAAATTTTCTTATTAAATTTGAAATTTAGTCATAACTATCTGGCTAGTTCTGGGTGAATGATATCTATGCAGTACACATGGAGGATGGCTACTGCCAAATATGCAAGCAAATTCGTCTTTTGCTACAGCGGCTTTTTGCTTGGCCCTAAAGCCCCAAAGTATTAGCCCATTAATTCTAATACCATGAGGCTTTTGCCCGAACTGAGTCATACACCATAGATACATGCAGCACAAGCTAAAGTAAAGTTGGATGTGGACTTTGATGCTAAATTAGCTGCAAAACAAGTTGAAGCAAAATTTCATCACAATCACAATTTTTAAAACTGTCTAACCACTAAATCAAACCATTGGGCTTGAAATGATATCATGACTGTTGTCTTTACGTCCAGTGTCTAAATTTTGTCAATCAAATTATCCACGAAAAGGCACGACTAACAAAAGTATAGCAACATTTTTTACAAACCCACAAAGATGACTTTTCAATGGCAAAAATATCTTGCATATTATGAAGAGATGGGAGGCAATAATAATTAGGTATATACAGATTATGCAGTTGAGCAACTGTATTGGGTAACTTCACACAAAATGAACAAATGATCATAGGACTAACCTGACCCGGGAAGAAGAAGATCGGATCTTGTAAAAGCACCAGGCCTAATGGGAGCATCTTTTTCATATTCTCTTTTGAAACGAGGATGGGCAATCGGGGCACAGATGAAATCAAACCTTCAAATAAAACAGAAACAGATCAAAGTGACAATTTGATCTATTCATGATCTATTTTTGGTCACAAGTTTAATTGTTCTCAGCTATGCGTGTTAAAAGAATCTATTGTTTGAGCACTTGAACAGTAGTTCAAAAATATATCAAAACGTCACTTTGCAAAGGGCATACAAAACCGTACAAAACAGGAAAGTTGTCAAAGGAAAAATGGCTGGAAACCAGGGGTGGCGAGCACCGCTCATAGTATGAATAGTCTATGAGCAAGTTTTTTTCCAGAGAAAGAAAAGTCTGAGATAAGATAATTCAATGAGCACAATGGCCTCTTTTCCAAGTCTAGTCTGTCGTCCTTTGACCCAATCTGAATAATTTTGCTTGTACCTCTGTATTCTGTCTTAAAACGCTTTTGTTGCTTTGATCCTATCTCTTGGCTGCCACAAAATCAAGAAACAGCCACGCTCATAGTTTTCAAATACCATGAATGTGTAGGATTTGACCTTATGTTCTACAGCAGCTATGCGTCACAGATTTTCTGAAAAAAATATGCCTTGTGGCCGTTGCTTGTTGGCCTCATTAATAATTTTGCTTTTCTATTCATCCGCTATATAGGTGACCTTATGGACCCAAAAGCATTTCATTTGTTCTTTTGTTAACATAGCTTTCTTATAATGAATAAAATGATTATGACGGAATATGATGGAACATACCAGAAGGTATTTTCACTACATTACGGAGTTTAATATAGGAGCAACATTTTCATTTCAAACAAGCAAGTATTCTTGGATTTGTGGCGATGAAGTTGGAAATACAAATTTCTATTTGCCATATCTGATCAAAGATGATTTGTCAAAGGTTGTATTTTCTCTATTATGGAGCACTAAAACCCAAACTATATGGAGTAATTTTTCTTTCTTTGGTCAATGGTTGATCCTTTTAAAGACAGTCCTTGACTCCTAGCCAGGCAACCCCTCGGCATGAATGGAATGGCATTTCTATTCATGCAACAGCTTGTACCTAGGAGTAGACAGCCGTTGGTTGGTTTTATTGTGTGACGGCTGGCTGCTCTTAATGATAGCCACTGCATGAATAGAAATGTGATTCTATTAATGTGAGGGATTGCTATGTCTCTAATCCAAAATCAAAAGCGTTCATAATATTTTAGGTCATTTATGCCTAGGGATAAATGTGCCGATTTTAGAAAATCATTCCTATAAATCCTACAACAAAGTGCTACCTATCGAAACAAGGCAGTTTTTCCAGAGCAAGTTGCTAAAAAAGAAACGTTCAGGACTTTTTAAGAACTAAGTATCATTTGACTCTATGTTTTGTCATGCACATCCTGCTGTAAACTAATAAAGGTCAGATAATACGATTAACAATTCAACTAGTTTATGAATATAGCTTCTTTGTGTGTCAGGAAACTATTGCTTATTAAATTTTAGTTCGTTTTTGTTAACCGTAACTGAGACACTTTTAGGTAGATCTCGATATAATTTAAAGAAAATGATTTTAACTAGATTCCCTCTATCAAAAAGCCAAAAGAACTTTGAAGTTAAGTTGAAAATACACTAGTTAATGTTAAAGAATTTTTTATACAAGAGCTCACTTCCATGTCTAAAAATCACTTCTGTTTTAGACTATCTTAGTTCCTTATTATATCTTGACAATATTTCATAGAGAACTGCCATATTCTGCAGGCTGGCCAGTAAGTTACAGAACAGCCACATAGCTGCAGGGGGGAAGCGGGGGGGGGGGGACTGTGCCCCACAAATAAAAACTTTGACAACAATGATATTTTGAAAAGCTGGCATAATTATAATTCTGTCAGCTTGATTTGGTCCAAATATATCTGTTTGTTATATATCTGCCCTCTTGTTTAAAAGCCTGCCCCCCCTCAGGTATGGTTCTTGCTTTAGTTTGCCCACCCTAGCCGACATCTACAGCTACGTGGTTGTTTCAGAAGATAAAGTTTTGTGGTATTATGGCTTACTGGCTTCTTTTTACAATGCTGTTAAGCTTCAATTGCTGATAAAACGGCCGAAGTATCACCTCTGTAGACTACTGACCATTGACATTATGATCTTAGTGGTACCTATAAGCTTTCAAATGGGAATTTCACCTGATGATGTTTGTAGAATGTTCCGGTATCAGTCGAATCCAATTTTCATAGAAAAATAAACGGAGAGTATACCCTTGAAACAAAATGGGAACTTAAATGTCTCCTACTATTTCTATGCCCTAGTTTTTCGTGCATTTCTCTAATCAACAAAGCTGAGCAAAATAAGTTCTTATTATAAGTTGACAATTTTTTTATAAAGATGAAGTCAAACGAACAAGAAAATACAAAAATCTGTAGCATTTAGAATAAATACATGCATACCCAGACTGGTTAGATGTCTGCAGAGCAGCTCTGATATCGGGAGTGCATGCTAGGTCAAGACCACAAGACACATGGGATGTGGGTCCGGTAGCCATTTTGTGCAGAAATGTGACCTATACTGAAACAGAGGCTGGTTATGCAAACGAGATTTGTCAATAGAAAAGTTGAAATGTTGCTTGATGATATATTGTAGCCGGGAAAATTGGTTACATGTTGCTGAGAAAACTGGTTAGACTGTACTGTTTGAAAAATTTTCATCGAGCTGGTGCATTCCAGTTAAGACTTTTTGGAGATGAAAACCACGAAAAAGATAAAGCAGTAACAGACAATAACGGACATGTCCAGCCTAGGCCCACTAACAGTGGCTCTATTGAAATCAAGAACGTTATATCAGCAAACTATCCCACGGAAAACTTTACTCTGAATGAAAAAGACTTAGAAGAAACGTTTATTAAAGGCAGTGGTCCTGGTGGTCAGGCAGTCAATAAATCAAGCAACTGTGTTCAGCTGAAGCACTTACCAACTGGAATCATTGTAAAGGTGATCAGATCATATCAAATAATGTCCATAAAAGCAATAACCAAATTTGCAAGCACAGACAGGGGCGGACTGGCTAATTTTTTTGGCCCGGGCAAATTTTTATCAAACCGGCCCACAATAATAGCAAATAAAAAGCTCCTCGGAAAATGCAAGTAAACGTTAGTCTGTAAGGAAAACAAGTTTTTAAATTCAGTAATTTTGTGCATGGATGAATGCTGGTTAACAGAATATGGTTAACAGAACTTGTTAAATATGTCATTTGCTGACTAAAGAGTAAAGACCCTGCTGTTTTTGTGACGTTTGTGGCTTTTGCTTGATAAAAAAGCTTTGTATCGTAGCTGAATCCTTTTTTAAGTCTCGCAGCTTTTCCTCACGAATGTGCACCACCTTTGGTTGGAGTCTTCTTGCTCTTCCCTTGTTCTACGTATGTCCTCTTCATTGCTTCACATCACAGAGGAAATCGCTCAGTGAACTCTAATTTTTGTACTTTTAAATTTATTACATTCAGCAATAGCTTGTGCTTAGGCAAAAACATGACCAGCTTCAAGCAAAAGCTAAGTAAAAAGACATCAAGGCAGGTTAAAATCTTATGTATCGCATTGAAGCAGGTGTGTTACAGTATAATATGTCGCCAAAAGGAAACACTGTCAAGAGAAAATATAACAAGATGTCAATCAGGGCCTCCGACGAAGGGGGGGGGGGCGGGGGGCCTTAGCCCCTCCCCCACTTTTTTGCAAAACAATAGAGTTTTTTTCAAAATCTTTTGTTATGGGTGTTAAATTTTCCCTTGGCCTCCCACTATTCAACCCTTTGTCGGAGCCCATGTCAATAACATGTATATTTATTCTTTCCCACAAAGTCTCTGAAAATTCAAGGCAAAAAAATCAACGCGTGGGTATACTTTTGCTTCGCATTCACTTTCTAAGCTAATTCATTTTATTTGCACTTTTATCAGCCGGCCCTTAAACCGACCGGCCCTTCGGGCAATCGCCCGAATAGCCCGACCAGCCAGTCCGCCCCTGAGCACAGAGACTATGATTTTTCTAAAGTTTCTATAGGTGTGAAAATCACAGGAATCCTGCCAAATTCAGTAATAGACACATGCCATCTTCCTTTGTTACTATATTTTGGAAAAAATTATCTTGAATCTTGGGGGGATTGGATAAAACAACATGTTCCTTCCAATGCAACATAAGAAACAAAACTGTCGCTCAAAGAGAACAGCCTCCTTGACCTTGTAGATCTAAAAACACAGTAAAAACTAGTGACTCTGCCATCAGACAACGCCTTTTAGACAACCTGGATTGTGCAAAACTCTATAATGATGACATTTTTCAGGTAATTGCCAGAGTCCAGTGGTCCTTTTCTAATAGTTTTGGAATTGATCTACATACAAACGAACAAGCGTCTATTGTGTAGACAGAAAAAGTTTGTTTTCTCTCTTGTGCTCCAATGGTTATTTTTTCTGTATGCACCTGGCACTTATTGGACAATTATGCTGGTCATGTGCTTGCATTTTTGTGATTAGCCTATTTTGATCCATTATGGGTATATATTTTTCATTGTCTTCTTTCAGACCTTTATTCTGGCATTTTATACTCTGTAGAGTGTTAGATAAAAAAGCTCTTAGCGTGTTGTGAAATTTTTGTTTTCTTTCAAAGCAATTTTTTCATTTGTAAATAATTACAGAATCCTAATCCTTCATAAAAAAGACTGAAATTTGACTCATTTTGCTTGCTAGTGTCATCAGACAAGATCACTTTTAGAGAACAGAAAGATTGCCAGAAAGATCTTGTTTGAAAAGCTTGAGTATATGATAAAGGGAGAAGACAGTAGTGTTGGGCAGAGAATGCAGCGGGACAAGAAAAAGTCAGCAGAGAATAAAAGGAGACAAAAATTGAGGGAGGAAGCAATTGCTGTGTCTTATGATTTTCATTCAAGATTCAGTAGCAAAGACAGTAACGATAAACAAGACTAAATGGTAAGTGCCTTGTGTAGCACGTGGTTTATTAATTCATTTCTCTAATCTTTAAAAAGCAAAGCATTGTTTTTGTGCATAGATTATTCTACTTTTTAGCATCAGCAAATGCTCAATCTGATAAGCAAGTAAACAAGATTTGATTTGTTGGCACAGGTCAGGGTTTTGGCAACTAATAGCTGATGTGAATCTGGGGCTTCTGCCTTCAAATTGACATTCTAGAATGAACAGCCTGGTTTCTCATTTATCAACTCCCAAATATTGGTAATATGAATTGTTATTGATGAATAAAGTAGTGAAGGAGAGCGGTAATTAAGTTTCAGATTGACAACATGACTTTTGTAGGCCCTTTGATTCAATAAGCCACTATTGATGATCAGGTTGTGAAAAATACTTCTTGGGTTTGAAGCGCGAGATCAAATGTTGTTTATGTTTAGTCGCAATTACTATAAATTTCTGGTGAGAATGTGTATAGTATGCTTAAAATTTTCAAGATTTAGTATCTTTGTATCTCTTTACAAAATCCTCTCGAAGTTTGTCAATTTCGTTTCTAAGATTTTCAAGGACGTTGCTCTCCACTTCCTTTGAGAATTCATCAAACCTTGCTGATATTGTACCTAAATAGATAAAAACATTGGGATCAAAAGTTTGATTGTCAATAAATATGATAAAAGAGATGGAGATCAAGTGAGAGTATGGTTGAAGGCACTTGACAGATACTCTCGCCAATCAATAATTGGCTTGTCAACAGGCGCGATGGTTGGCCAGTGGTTTAAGCCACTTTGGTATCGGTCAATCATTACTTTGGTATCGGTCAAAAACAAAATTTAGACAGATGTTCGCATTATTCTTATATGATGCACATAAACAAATCAAACATTTTAGAAGTGGTGGGCATATGTTGGCAAAAAAGGAACAACTCTGTGAGCTCCAAAAAAGGTACTCTACATCTATTTTTGAAAAGTGGGGACACATGCCCCCAGCACCCTCCTGCTCTTACGTCTATGATGGTGCATGTAAATTTTAGCGTTGTCTTGAAACTGGAAACATATCAGTGCTTACCGTTGCTAAACACCGACATTTCACGATCTTTCACTGATATTGGTACACTTTTCTTTGATTTGTATAGCCTATGTCCTGCTGTACTTATTAGGCCTATCCCCACAGTTATACTGCAAGAAATAGCCATGGCTACCAACATTTTTTGATATACTGAGGTTGACCCAAGTGCATTGTTTGTGACATCCGTATCGTCTGTAGATTCCTCTGGCAGCTATAATGTAATGGACGTTAGCAACAGAGTGGAATGGCCTCATCAATAATCTGGCGAATAACACATATTTCGTCGTAATAATTTGTTGATTTTCTTTGATGGCTTAAGAAGAAGTCTTACGCACTGAAAATATTCAAAACCAACTTCCAAAACAAGCGCTAAGACAAACATTTTCCAGGAAAACGATGGATATAAGGGAGCTTCTAAGTAAATGTAATACACAATGAAAAACGGAAGAAAAGCTCAACATCAATCTTCTAGTGTCTGAAGATTAGTTTTTTAAAAAGGAAGCTCTTTAGTGGTTGAGATAATAATTGAAAGTGGGTTTTCATTTACCTTCCATGCCATCTCACTGATTGCATCTTAAGAAGGCGACTTTCGGCATCTTTGTTTTCTTCGATAAATGTTCGCAAAAAATGTGCCCAGTCCTCATATCTCTTGCTAGAAAATGTCAATCCAAAGCCAGTGTCCGTGTTCTTGATATCTTTCTTTATTATTAGTTTGATACCAGAATTTGCGAAGTGTTTCCAGTAGTATCTTAAAGTGTATCTATCTATCAGGATACCTGAAACATAACGTTATTTATTTGGGAAGAAGGCCTGAGGTTTAAATGACCCTCTCTAATATTCTGATAAACCAGTAGCATGGTTGGACGTTGTGGCAAGATTTTTCTTCTAATTGCTTTGTTATCCTTTCATTCTTATTATATGAACATACATAAACTTTATAGGCGCAAGGGGTAAATTGCTATCTTGAAAACAAACATTCAGTCTTAGAGGGCTTATATCCATAAGCGTACGGGTCGGGGAGGCTGGGGGGCGGTAGCCCCCCCAGTTTTCGAAAAACCATGTCAGTCGGGCAAATTTTCAAAAATTCTCCGCAAATAGTCGGGCAGAAATGACTTCAAATAACCCAAAGACTGAAAGCTACGAGTAAATATCGTTGCATTATCAAGTCGACCAAAAGTACCTTACAAATGATAAGATGGTTTTTGAAAATTACAAGAAGCAAAGCGATTCTGAATCTTATGGTAATAATGCAGCAATGCTTGTCCAGAAGATGTTTCAAGAAGGTTTGAATCAAGTACTGCCATTCCTGTATGAAACAACATCATTGCTAGCAACGATTCTAGCAACATATTGATCAGCTGAAAGATCATTCAGTGGTCTTCGACGGCTGAAAACATATCTCAGATCAACCATGGACCAAGAACGGCTGAGAGATTCACATTGGCACTACTTAGCATCGAGAGGAAATTTTCAAACGAAGTTTTGAAAAGTGACATGAATGCGATGATTGATACATTTGGACATAGAAAGGGTCAGGACTCACATTTTTTTTCACTGTAGTCGAATTCAAGAGTTAATAGTAGTATTTTTATTGATATTGCATAAAATATTGGAAAATATTATACATTGCTGCCCTTATCTATGAGAAAATTACATCAAACTTTTAGATCTGAACAGTAGACATTATAGAAGAATCGATAAGGATAGCATGTTCACCAAACATGTCTCTAATTGGTTTGCTCAACTCTCAACTGACTATTTTTACTTTAGATATTTAGGTAAAAAAGAACTCATAATGTAAATATTTTTCATGTCAAGCTCCTTATCACCAACAGGCTCATAAATATATGCATGCCTCTGTACTCGAGCAAAAATCCTACCGCCCCCCCTGTAAAAATTCCGCCGTACGCTTATGCTTATATCCAGTGTGCTAATAGCTAACTGTAGTTGTACCACGTGTGCACTCAAATATTTGGAATATCATAAACCTTTAGGCCCCTTACAAAACCTGTTTGGCACAGGCATGCGGTCGTCGAAAGGAGATTAATAGCTAAGGCACTTTCAGAGAGCATGAGATGAGACGAATTTTTGCTGGGTAAGTTTGCCTACCGCCCAAAGTTGCCGTACCTTTTTCAAGGGCCCGGTGTCTGCATTTTGTATTTACCAAAAGACCAGGGAGAATATTTTTACCTTTGCAGGGCTTTCAAGAGCCCATTTATTTTCGGTAAATTATTTGGAGGCTGCCATTGAATGTCCTGCCTAAAAATCAGCCTCATAATGGCCAGCCCCTTGCCTGTCGTACTGAAAGCCCTACCGTCTTGTTCTGTAGATATACAAGTTTTTTATGACTTTATTTAAATATTACTGCAAACATTTTCAGTACATATTTACTAATAATTGCATTTAACCCAGAATTTCCCTTTCATGCAACATCCCAAAGACGTATTCATGAAACTTTGTACACCGCAGTAAAAGATATCAAAGAAATCATGAAGTACATTTTAAAATAAAATTTACAAACCTTGGATTGATTCGTTTTTCAAAGCATTTATCAAGTGAGATATGTTCCGATACCCTAAAGAAATTTTCAAAAAATATGATCTTGGTAGAAATAAGCAACATCAAAATTTTACACTTATAATAGTAGACTTGAAAATTTATCTTCTGGAAAGATTTTGATAGTTTTTTACCAGTAAGTTTTGAAAAGGAATATCATAAAAAGTATATCATAAAAACTTGCCTATTGCGTTTGCACCGTCTCTATATATTATGTTCTCTTCGTACCCGATTGCAACATGCCTCAGAAATCCAACCTGTATTATGACAAAACAAAATACTTTACACATAAAAAGCTTTTCTGTCTGATAACAATTATAGCGATGACTGTCTATATTTAATCTTAGGATCAAGTGTGTAAGCTCTCGTGTTATGCCCAATTATACAAACGGGGCCCTCGATTGTGTTTTACTGTATAAGTACAACCATTTGCAGACGTATTGTGCCTTAAAACAAAACTGTTTGTGAAATTTGGCCAAATTTATTATCAGTTAAATCTTATAAGGATATTATTTTCTTAAATGCATTAGTTATATAAAAATATGATATAATCACAGTTTTGCCATTTATTTTCGTTGTTTCGCCAATAGCTGCTGAGGTAAGAGTCGAGGAAATAGAAGCTGTAAAAATCCCTGATATAACAATTCCTGTTGTTATCCAGAATACAGCAAAGACTCTGCCTCCAAAAGAACGCGGAGACTTATCACCGTACCTAGGAAAGAATAAACAGCAAGTGTTGTCGAAATATAATAAAAATTCTAAAGCACTTTCATATAGCGTTTCAACAATGTCAGAGTCAGATATATTTAGTTGACTTGATCGAACTCGCGTTAAATTATCAAGAATTTATCGCTGGTTTTGGAACATTTTGATCAACGTTAGAGAACAGCTTGTGTCTGTGCAGTATTACATTTGACAGTTTTCTATAGTTAAGAGTGGAATTACGAAAGAAAACTTTCATTAGAACAAAAAGATATCTTGAAGAGTTACCAATGAATCAGAAATCAGAAAACACTGGACTTGGAGCAAGGATGGAAATAGCCAGGGATTAGAAGATACAAAAGAATAATGGGAGGGAGAAGAAAAAAAACGTGTATCCAACATTGTATGCAAGTGAAAGAAATCAGAAAATAGAAAAGAGATAAAAGAGGACAAAAAGCTCTTTGGATTAATTCAATCCTTTGCATTAGAAGTTCAAGAATTGTTTCTAAGGCTATGATGACCAGATATAAGTTTGAAATGACCAGAGTAATTGACTGAATGGCTATTGCTTACCCGACAGTTGTCATGGAGATGTATGCCCACCAGCTTCCTTCAAGAGATCCCCGAATGAAGGATTGTGGGAACTCGTCGGGGTTTTTTCTTGTATCCTTTGAAAATCAAATAAAAGCAATTACGTGCTCGGACTTAATTAAAAAAACAGAGGGTAACGAGCCTGTTATCGACTCGTTTTATTATACACTTTCATAAATACATAATTTTCAAAACATAGGAATGCTCAAGTAATAACTGGACATTTTCAGCAGTCAAAACTTACATAAATGTGAGTTAGAAGCTGAGCAATGGAAACAAGCAGTATATATCGTAAATTTGATAGACCATGCATTTTCAATAAGCAGGATAGGGATGAGAAAATGTTTAAGCCAATCAAATTTTTCGCTTGCATTTTCGAAAGCCAATAGAAACTCAGAAAGATAATCGAAACACGTGGAGAAAATAACACTGTACCAGACGCAACAATAACTTGCATATAACCAGTAGATTATAGACTCTGATATCCCTGCTTCTCAGTAAGCGATATTTGGATTTCTAATGTAAGTAGGCTCTAGGACAGAAGCGTTAAGCAAAATTTGCATATTTAGTGCACATCAGAACAACGATCGATGTAGGCACTAAATAAATCCCTCCATGACTAACGGGTTGTTTCCAACCCGGCGAAAAGCCAGGGCTACAGCTGTGAAAATCTGATTTCTCACCTAACCGAGATGGTCGCAACGGTTTTTTATACTTTAATGTATGGAGATTCAGAATCGAAGATGTGACCAAAAAATTGTGCTTTGATACCACGTGATCGATGACGTCATAAATCATGCGAAGATTATAAGAATTCGGCAATACTTTCAAAACCTGTGAGACGATTTAGCAATGGTAGCCTTATTTGAAAGGGCATTTTAAAAGCTTTCAATTTGTGCAATATTTGCAAAAAATGATTTACCAGCAACCATATGATGACTCCTCCTTGAATAGTCAACAGCAAAATGAGTGCAAACAGGGGCCATGCTTCATATAGAGACTTGAGAAGCCTGTTCATGACGACATCCCCAATGTTATCAGGATAGATAAATGCCACTCCAGGACTATTAATCAATCTCACATACGGATTGCTAAAGTAGTATCTTGCTTCTTTGATGCCGATCGCTGGCATTAACACTTGGTAATATGAAACATTGTAAAATTGTTTCGACAGCTCCACCATCGATTTGAATGGTTTCTGATAAAACAGGCGTGTGCAGTTCTTGCAACATGCTTTCAAAGCCAGCTTTAACATTGCTAAAAAGGATGCACAATACGGCGAATAAAATTTTGCTATAGATTACATAGTGGAATACATTTTGCTATAGAGGGCACCATAAAACTCCTAGAAACTTCATACCACATTGGATCAGTTTGAGCAAGATTTTTTCCTAAGAAATAATCACAGTTTCGAATGCAGCTTGGTATGAAAAAGTGGGAATACATTGAACATGTTGGCTGGCAGTAATGACAACTTTTGCTGTTGATGCATTGTCTGTAAAAGTCAGCGTCATGTTTAGAGTGTGTTCATTTAGGCTTTTCGTTATAATTTTCGTCATAATCAATACTGATTCTTGAATTAGTTGACAATTTGGCAACAAGTATTCGCGGTAATTCAGCAATCTAATTGTCTTAATTGTTTCATTTGTAATCAAAATGACTGGTCAAGAATGCAAAAAACCAAATAATATATTGTAGCAAAAGGCATCGGGTCAAGGAAAGCTGGGTTATGAGATTCGTATGTATTCAACGCTTTGAGACACTTCTAAGCTAGAGAAGAGCATTACCTGGAAGAATGCCATCCAGAGTTCCATTTGGCAACGTAAACACGTATGGAGGTGAGTTGAAGTACCAGATAGTTAAATCACTATTGCAAATACAGAACTGTTTATTGTACCAAGTCTCGCAGTTCATTTCATCGAAAACCGCTTTCGCAAGTCCTGTTACCAAGTCATACCTGAATAAAAGATCGTAGCTTTTTAAATGATATCTCAAAATCTTGTTCACTTAGAAAGAACGATTATTTTACTGAGTATATCCCGTCGATATCAACAAAACTCTGTTCAAATATAACACAATTGCAACGCAGAAGAAAAGACTGTACATAAATGATGAAGATTTCCGGTACAAATTGGAATTTGGCTTATTGGAACTAGCTATATTTGAAAAGTTGATGCACGCAAACAAAGTTAAAATTTCGCTTTTAAATTACTGCTTTTGCAGTAATGGTATCATACGCCACAGCTGCAGCTGCATACAATGGTATCAAACTTGCTCTTACCTTATGGAGCATTCTTCATTGAAAGATGTTTTCTTGGTGCAGTTGTGTCCTTTCCCTACTGTAAGACACAACAAAAAGCTGGATAAAAAAAGGTATAGCTTGTGCATCATTCCTTGTCATAATGCGTAAAGATATATCTCTCACACTTCCCTGCTAGATTTACTTGATCTGCAGCTATTACCAGCAAAGCAAGAATAGACAGGTGCCATATTACGTACAATACAAAGCAATGGTCCATTGTTGCTAGAATGCTAGTGGGCTAAAACTGGCTTCCAAATATTGAAAGCATTGACATAGCATAATAGCAACTCGCGCAAATTTTGTATGTGTCTTCTTCTGGATTTTCTGTCAACATGTGACCAATTATCAATTTGTGGAATCTAACCCATTATGGGGCTAAAACATTGTGTGCAGAGTTTGCAAAAAAGCCAATCAGCAAACTGTATGCTCCACACATGACTCAACAATTCTAGTTTACTTTGCTTCTTGATTTTACCTGTTGCGTAAACAGATATGAATTAACATAAATTATTTTGTATTTGCTTGCTAAAAAGAGTACCAGGAGTTTTGTGGTCGATCAACCTTCAATGGGATTTACATCAAATTTGTTTGCTGTATTATATATTACCATTAAGCATACCATTCCACATCTGAATGCCATCTGACGTAATACCGGTGACAAAGGGTAGCTTAATTTGGCTAAGTACAAGGGTTACTTTAATGCTAATGCATACATGCTATCATTTAAATGATCGATCAACCTTTAAATGATGTGATGACATTGTCAACATAAGCAAACTAACAACAAACTTCAGTGCTTCATCAAAGCAAATATTAGCAATAAAATATTTATTATTGCACTGGTTGAAAGCTCATCTAAAGGGTCTTTAAATAAAATGAGCTTGCCTTCTTCTTCACTTCGAGTCCATAAAGAACGGATGCAGAAAAAGAAAAATGACTATGCATTTTGTCGACTGCTGCCTTGATTCTGCCCTTACCCACTATTAAAAATACGAGTTCTTTTGCTGGCAGTACAACAAATAAGAGATAGACATTAAGGGGTACCTTCAAGCATGAATGACATACACCGTGTCTCACTTAAACTGTTGTAAATTAAAATAAGTTTTGCGAAGGTATAAAGTTTAGATAAATAGATAGAACGTAAATAGTTACAGTTTATAGAATTATTTTTCATAATTCATTAGTTACAGTCAGAAAAGAAGTTTGAGAACTAAATTATACATTTATACAGTTTTAATTTTTATTCAGTCAAAATCATATTTTTACCAACTACGATGTTTACGTGCAGGCAAGCAAGCAAGAGTTCAAAACTCTGATGCACTCATATTACTTCTTTCCTTCAGCCAATTTATTTTCTGGATATGATATCATGTTGCTTTTCAAGTATGTCTTCTCGTAGCTGCTCAAGTTGCTCTCGGAAGGCTTTTTCGACAGTTTGCGAAAAGACTTCAAATCTATCTTTTAATAGGCCTAAAGGGAATAAGATATTTTAGTTGCGAATAGACTGGAAATGTGCAATAAAAAAAATCCATGATGTCAATTAGAAACATTAGCCAAATAAAAAAAGATGATCAAATAGAATTTATGTAAGATGTTGTAGTGACCCTGCCTAGGCCTGTCGCGTTCCAACATGTCTATGAGTTGGTTTTTGTGCCAATAAGACATAAATTAAAAATGATGCGATATTGAAATATACAATTCTTACCATTTTGGAATACTGCGATTTCAGTGCCTTGAACTGCTGCTTGTTTTCTTCTCTTTTGTCTATATACCTTGTGAGCAACTGTAGCTGCGAGGCCGATCAACACTGTTACGGTGCAACAGCCAAACAGTGTCATTAGTACATACTTGTAAATCACAGCTGATCGAAATATTCCATTTTCAAATTCCAATGTTTCCTGGGGTTCTTCTGGCAGCTTTAGTAAACAAAGGAAGTCATGTTACAATAACTAAAGTAATTATTCTAAACTTACAATTTCAGATAAATAATTACCAAGCAATCTTTTGGTGGTACAAAACTTCTAAATGGCTTTAAAAATATCTATGTTCTGACGTTTTAAACTCTGAAGAGTGTCAGACGAAAAGCTTAAGTTTACTAAATAATTATCAGTTGGTATATTAAAATATTCAGTAGTAACTGTACAAGAAAAAATGTTAAATAACATAATATTTTAAAGATTTATTTTACATCTAGTATTTTGAGCTGTGATTAATATTGTATCATTCTGAAATTGCCAGTGTTTTATTATCAATGTTTTATTCATATGTATGGTTCTTTATAATATTCGAGTACCAGAGTATGGCCTGCAGTACATTAATTTGATGTCCATCTCTTAAAAAACAATCCACTGCTTCTAATTCTAGTCATCTTAAGTAACCCATGACAAGTTGTTATTGTATTCTATTAGACTAGGCTCTAACTAAGCGAGGTGCTACGGGGAAGTGTAGAAATTCTCATGTAGCTTATCAAGACAATTTTTTACAAGTAATCCGAATATCTTGGATAAAATGGCAAGTTCCTGAAAATTTCTGAGAACGTGGATAAAAATGATCTAGTGGCATATAAATCTAACTGTATGGAACCCTTTCAGTTCCAAGTGAAAGGCTCAAAAAGCTGCAAGCATAGTCTCCCAAATCAAATTCTTTGCTCAGAAATTTCAGTGTTGAACACCTATGATCACTAGATTATTGATTTTCCTCCTTTCTTCTAGCAAGAGAAGACGCTTATCGTTAGCACCTGTTCCGACCTATAATATTCAGTTACAAAGTCTGTTTTCATCAAAAAGCAAAGATTTTAATCAAGATTCAGCTAATCTGACTAGCCTTCAAGATTAAAAAGTGTAGAATTTTTATATCTAATTAAAGTAACTCATTGAATTACTATGCAAAGATATATCTGTTTCAATTTTCATTTGCATTCAAAAGACAACGCTAGAAAAGGCGATTAAGATTGCATTGTTGTCGGTATAGTTTAAGGATACATTTTGTCAGTGGGGGCCTTCTATACTTGTAGGCCATTAAATTCAGTTGTAAGTATGGTAAAATGTTCTGGACTAATGTTGTAAATTTTGAACAACGATTATGAGTTTCTTCTGTGTTATGCGACAAATTTAGGAAAACAATCAAGGCTTATTGCATTGCAGGCACGGGGAAGGGCCTCTCAAGCTCCAGCTCGAGCAATCGCCATAGTTGGAAATATAATTGTTTTTCAGCTATATCTAATGCAATGGCTATAGATATAATTGGAAAAGCATGCTTACCTTCTCTTTTATGCTCTCTATTGCATCAAATAGTATACGACTCTCAGCATCCAGGTTTTCTGCTTGGAAGTTACTCAAAAAATGGGCCCAGTAAGCCAGACTTTTATCTGCAAATATCATGCCAAAGCTGATGTCAGTGCTTGCAATGTCTTTTTTGACTGCCAGCTTGATACCAGACTCCTGAAACTGCTTCCAGTGGTATCTCAATATCAGCCTATCCATAAGAATACCTGAAACAAGAAGTTCCCCCAAAGCTACATTAAAGCAAGGATTTGTAAATCAGTGTTCAAATGTAGTCAGAAGCATTTATAGAATTCTCAAATATTGTTTTGATAAGATCCAGTGTTTTGAAAGTGTTTGCAAAAAGAAATATGACACAGCACAGCTAATGTAAGTAACCTGTGCGTACGTGGTTCAGGTATTTAAAAGTAATGTAATCATAGAGGTAATCGAATTTGGTACAGTGCAAAAAACCAAGTGGTTTTTTCTAATTAGTGTCCATTGCGACGTCAAGAGATGCATTATCTTTTATCCCTAGGCATTCGCCCCATCCATTTAGAGTAGCAGAGTGGGCCTAAATTCTGCTTTCAAGGCAGATTAATTTAGCCAACACAGAATGATTTGCACGGATAGTAGATTGCAGTAACAATGCATACCGTCAATTGTTCTCTTACTCAATGAAGTTATCAGGTCGGACACATTCGAATACCCTAGAAAATTTTAAGATCTTAATTGAATTATTCATTAACAATATAGAATATATAATAATAATAATAAAACGAATATTTATACAGGATAGACACTTCAACGTGTTAATTAGCTGTTATTAATGTGTGACCTGTGTTCTACGCCTAAATACTATTAATGTCTGCGAAAGAAGAACCGCCGGATAGGCTGTCCGCCAGATTCTATGAATCTTGCAATGAGTATAAATATGGAGATAAAATACAGGAACAAAGCAATTCCGGCGGACAGCAAGCACGAGAAATCAATTTAATTAGATAAATTTTCAAAGTAAATTAGATAAAATGCATACTAATATTTCGCCCCTGCGTTCAGGGCTCCATCAGAGCTCCATTCAGGGCTAAATGCTATTACCCTAAGTATTTGAAAATATTAGAAAACAGATATATATATAAAAGAGGAAGTTAAACTATTCACCCCCAAAGTTACAGATATAGTTTTAAGATAAGTATCATTTAAATATCATTTAAAATGTTCATTGAGTTGTTTCTCAAATTCTTTATAGCTCTCAATTTTACGAATTTCTAGCGGTAGTTCATTGTACATCCTCGCACCCATAAACCTAAATGGTTTTCTTGCGTACTCAAAAATTATTGCAAAATATCGTGCCCAGTGCCTAGGAAATATTACGGAGATGGTGCCCTGAAACAAGTTTAAATCATGAATCCAGAACAAGCGGAAATTTTCTTTTCGAAAACGTTTCTTGGGGTTCTATTCTAGAAAGATATGTAACAATTGCCTACCAGCAATTACCTCTTTGAACATACATATCTTAATTGATAATCAAAAACCCGCCACTAAAATTATTGCCGACATTATGGATAAAACGAGTCTGCCCACGTACATTGATTCCGGAATACCACCGTTGATAGAAAACTCTTGGTTCACCTTGTTGTATTACAAGTGGGTATGTTAGTGTAAGGCTGAGGGTAGAGGGTGCCGTTGTAAAATGTTAAGAGGGAGGCTGTGCTGTAGGAAACTTCTAGAAGCATAATGAAAGATTACACTAATGGTCACACCCTGCACACGTGCATTCTTGTTAAATAGTTTCTTTTGTGAATGTGAGTTTCTTCCAACTTTTCACCGGCTCTAAAAATTTGACAAAATTTGCTCATTCGTGAAAAACAAATAAGTATCTTGCCAGGAAAGAAGCTCGTCCAACCAAACATACACATTCTTGTTAAAAGAAGGGGCTGTGCCTTTCCTTCGAAACCTCTCTAAAATTTTCCAAGGGAGCTGAGCCTCCTAAGCCTTCTCTACGGCACCCTAGATTAAGGGTTTAGTGAAGGAGACGAGGTCGAATTTTGTTGGTTTTTCATTTGAAAGGTAGTCTGGGATAACATTTTTGAATAGGCAAGGAAAAATTTTAGGAATAGACATTTTTCAGGAAAATGTTAATTTATGCTACATTTTTGAATTCAAATTGCTGCATCATAGCATGGAAATTGCTGCAGTTAAAACCACTTTCTTAATTTACCAGTTGCATTTCCGCCTTCCCTGTAGATGATGTTCTGCTCGAAACCATATGTAATCTTTTCCAAAAATCCAACCTAAAAATAACTTATATTTTTAAAAATTTTAATCTAGATTTATCATTTCCAATGATCACACAAAGCAATACTTTCAAAAACTTTAACGCTACCCTTCTATCAATATTGTATCTATAACGTTATAAGAATATCAGTTTTTCCTTAAAGGTAAGATATAAAAAGTGTATTGTATGGTTCCTATATTGTAGTTTTATGGATTTGATAATTTTTTCTGAAGTGATAAGTATCAGGCTATGAAAAGGACAAAATTACATTTTTGCGATTTAAGTTTGTTTTCCCACTAGCTGTTGCTGAGGTTAATGATGAAGTAATAGAAGCTGTGAGAAGCCCTGATATGACAATTCCCAAAGTTATCCACAGCACACCAAACGCTCTACCAGCAAACGAACGCGGGGACTTGTCGCCATACCTAAGACAGATGACATTTTTAGATTAAAGATTCAAATATTTTGTATAATTTAATTCACATCTACAGTGTAGGTTAAAATAAATTTTTATTTTGTAGAGCACACTTCTAGCATGGAATGCTCGAAACGGCACAGATTGTTGTGCAATGAAATGACATTAGGGGTGGGGTGGGGTGGGGGCTGATGAGAGAGAGAACATACCAATTTTATGCTTATTTTCATGTTTTGGTAGTTTGCTGTAAAAGATAGCTATTGGGGTTTTCAAGCTATATACGCTCGTTGTTTTTCGGGCTGATAGATTAGTGCCTAATGGCTTGAAAATTGGAAAAAAAAGGAAAATTGAAGGATTCGGGTTAGTTTTATTAACTGTTTTTAAAGCAGTGCAACCATTTTAATTTTAAATCTAGCTTCAATCAAGGAATTTTGGCTGCTACATGAATTTTTGGAAATGATATGTACATGACAAAATGAAAAAAAGAGAGCAGAAGCGCGTTCGGTTGGTCCAAAACTTTGAGGGCTACCAGGCAGGTGACATTACATCATCTTTTTTATCAGACTGTAGTATTATGTAGACAAAGAAAGACGTAGTAGGCCCTATGCTTACCCCACGGTTGTCATAGAAACGTAAGCCCACCAGCAACCTTCAAGAGAACCTTTAATGAACGACGGATGGAATTCCTCTGCATTTTGTCTTGCATCCTGGTAAGAGATGAAAACAGAAGTAAAAGAATGGTTGAAACAGTTCTGGAAGATTAGTTGTCTAAATGACTTAAAAATTTAGCAAAACGTTTGGAAGTTCAGGTTTTTATTCGGATTCCTCACTTTTTTGGGGGGGAGAGGGGGGGGGTTCAGACCTATTGCATATCATTTGGATTCCTCACAACTTGCATAGGGTTTTGACATGTTAAACGTTTGTCATGAATCCGACGTAAGCCGGAATTTTCTGACAAGGGCGCAATTCATCCAGAACCTGCCATGCCCCTGTCCTCCATAATTTCGGCCGCTGACTTCAGTCTTTATGGATGATGATGTTAGGCTTATCTTAGATTTGATTATTGATCAAAGAAGATGTTGATGTGCTATAAATCTGTAAAGTAAGCTCTTGGATTTTGTCTGTTGATAGCCGAGAAAACTTGTGATAAGATTTCAGCTGTCATGATAACTTTCTTTGCTCATGCTAAGAAATATTTTCTACCAAGGCATGAGGACTTTTACAAGAACAAGAAGGCTTCCGCAAAAGGCATCTAAAGAAGCAGTCGCAGAAAATATTCACGTACATGCTTTGTTATTAACAAGTGCATGTGTGCGTTTTATCCATGAACATTGCTCAGTATGAGTCCTTGCGATACAACAGACTGCCTCACAAACAGAATAGATTCCTTTTCAAAGTTAAATACATTTTCAAAATCAAAGGCTCTGTTAAGAATCAAATCTTGTAAGGTTATTAAGTATGCTAAGCCAAGAGTTTTACACTAGGCACAGATAATAAAATTGGATATTATCGTGGTGTATCCAAGGGCAATGTTTTTGTTGTTTTTTTATAGAAAATTGTCCTATTTTCAGTGCCCTTACTAGAAATGTTTTTGATGGGGCTCGATTTTTCATGGGACAGGGTAAAATCGTTAAGCGAGCAAAAAGCAAGCTTGGGTCTTGGGACACTTGAAGACCCTAAGGGTGGCGGAACCCTAACACGTCTGCGAGATATATTGAAACTGGTCCTGGAACAGGACTTTACAAGTATTATAGCGTTTTAAAACAAAATTGCTATTTACTAACGGTGTTTTCACCAATTTACATAGTTTTCATCGATGACCATTCACCCCAACCTTTTTGTAGCTATCATTGATTCAAATTGTAAGGGCAGAGCTAAAAATATTATCGTTTTCCTTGCGAATTCATTCAATGCAAAGTAATTGAATCACTAGAGACGATCCGCACTCAGAGTACCCCAACTCTGCTTTTGAAATCGACAGATGTTAAGAAAACCCCTTGTAGCGAACCCCCTATGATCCTTTCTTGCCAAGAAAAACGCTGACCCACCAAAAACTGCTCCCCCCTCCCTAGGTTTCTGTTGCTCTCCCCGTTGAATCTTTTGTTTCCCTGTGGAGAAAGGTTTTCCAATTCTATATACTTTTGCTCTTCCCTGCCACGATGTCTGTGACGAACCCCATATTGGGAGTTTCTGTGCTGTATCTCTGATGCCTGGTTGGGGTTGCTACTGGGGGTGTTTTAGAAAGCAACTTACCAGAAGCCAAATGATGACACCACCCTCGATGGTCAATAGCACAATCATTGCAAGCAATGGCAATGTGTCTCCAAGCGAATGGAAGAGTCTGTCCAACATTTGCTCTTGCGAGTCATCTATTTGAAGGTATGCCACACCAGGGTTATTCATTAGTTTCACATATGGCTTTCCAAGGTAAAAAGCAGCATCTTTGGTTCCAATGACTGGCATTAATATTTGGTAATGGGATTGGTTATAAATATTTAGCATCATCTGGTCTATTGACGTGAATGGTTTTTGATATTTCAGCGGCGTACAAATATAGCAACAACTTCTCACGAATATTTTTAATATGGCTGAAAATAAAGCAAATAATTAATGGTTTCTAGAAAAATTTTAGACTACGTAGATTTGATAAAGCTAGGAATATGAATTCTGCTTCCTTGCTAAGAAAAAACTCATCAGCTTCTAAAATGCTCCTTTGGTTCATGATGGCTGATTTGTGACATGCTTGTGACAAATTTGAAGTTCTTTCTCTTCAGCGAAAGACTTTAATTTTCCAATGTTTCCAAACATTAAACAGTTTAAGCTTTATTTCTATTTCAAAATTCTTTCTCTTAATAGACCAAAGAATGGTTTCTCTCCTTTCATCTCGTTCTACAGAGACAGATTTTGACAGACCTTTTATCAGTTAACTGTAGTGTCCGCTTATATGCAACTTCTTGAAAACGATTGTTAAAGACTGATTGTAACAAAATTATATAGAGAAAGAACTATTCAAAAAAATCATTTGTTACAAGATTAGAATTGGGCGTGGCTGTTTTCTGATAAAGTCAGTGATATTGAGTGTTAAAATAAACAGAAACGATGATGCAATCCGGTTATACCTTATGTCATCTAAGTTCAATTCAAGAACAACCCTAGGCTCAAAATAAGAAAATTAGGAATCTTGGGGCTCGACAAAAAATTTGGTATTCTTAAATAAAAAAGTGGGCACATACAGATTACTGTTCTTTTGGCCTGGCTCACAAATTTCAGAACCAAAGCCAAATTACAATGACTGAGCCAGTGCTTATGCAGCAATATCTTAGCCTGCAACAGATTTAAGTGACTTACAACATGTAAAAATTGAACGATAATTCACGGTATTTTCAAGCCGCCTTAAATACCTAATTAGTCTAAAAACACTTTCATGACGTCACCCCTGAGAGACTACTAGTAGCATCACCTGGCAGAATTCCATCCAAGGTTCCATTTTGCAAAGTGTAAACGTATGGAGGCAAGTCATAGTTCCAAATTGTCAAAACCATTTTGCAGACTCTGTAGTACTCATATGTCGTTTGGCAAGAAGCATTTTCATAGAGATGTTTCGCAACACCAGCTGCCAGATCATACCTAAAATGCATTATGTGTGAATTATCTCTTTTGTCAGAAAACATAGCATAGAGTAGCTAAGTTGATCAAAGAACTTGGATCATACTAAATATTAAAGGGGCCAAAATGTTTTGAGAGTTCTAAGCATGCCAGGGGCGGATCTAGAAATTATTCTGAGGGGTTCTAAAACGTAAGGCTTGGTAACCCAGGGTGTTGCTATGCACAAACTCCGTACCCCTGCTAATAAGCCATAATGAAATGAAAGCCTTCCATAAACTAAAAAGCCTGGATGCCTTGATTTATATAGTAATTTTTGGTTTCAGCTTTTATGCCAATTGAACGCAATTTGCAGCTCGCCCCTCTTATATTCACTTAGGGTACAAAAGTATAGAAACTGTAGTCAAAGATGATATGATGGCCCGCAGTGGCAAAAGGCCCGAGCCCACAAATTTTCAAAGCAAAATTTAATTTTTGACTCTTTGCAGCTATTTATTAGAACTTGATCAGCTTGACCAAAAAAATAACGTGGCTGGTGGAATGAAGCCCTTGAAGTGCAGTGCAAAAGTTGAACACAGGGATTCTAACACAGCATTCAAACCAAACAAAGAAGGCCCTGAACGTTTCGCTATGGGCCTGGCGTTTTGAGTATTTTTATGTATTTGAAATTCTTAGAGAAAAAAGGATTCGCAGGAATATAAGTAGGTATAAAAAGGAAACCCCTTTTGGTCAATAATAGTAAGGGCAAGTTTTTGAGATGTTTTTTATGTAGTTCTTGAATGATTAAATAAAGAATAACAAGGGCTCGGGCAAGCTTTATCCTCTGAATATAAATCATACCTCATGGTCTATGAATAAGACATGAAACACGGAGTTGAAACTTGAAACCGTTCTGTTATATAAACCACAGCGTTTACAAGTTCTGCCGTTACAGCATCGAGCATCAGGTAAAGATCGTCAAAAGATCCACGAAAACATATTGCAAATTTGCGCCTAAGCATTCGTCGCGTGCTGTATCATAATTCAACTCCCCCTGGTCAACCTCAACTCCCCCTGTTCAAGCTCAACTCCCCCTGGTCATAAAACCACTTATACATTTGACTGTAGATTGAAGCGAAGAAACTCCCCCTGGTTTGTCGGTATTCTTTGATGTTTTGGATTTTTGAAATCCATGGGTTCTCGCGCCAAAGTTTAGAACCCCTCGACCTGGCACCGTGATTGGCTAGATTCACTTCCACGGGTGCAGAAACTCGTATAATTTACAGGCCACGGGTTCCTTAAGTGGCTGGATATAAGAGGAGACAATGCTTTCCGAGTCTGTAGAATGCTATACAGGACAACCAGGGGGAGTTTCATACACTTCAATGCATGGACTGAAATAACAATGTTGAACAGTTGTGAGACGGGGCATTGAAGCGGAAATAACAATTTCAGGAGATGTGCATACTTCCCGGTATTATTTAAATGGTTTAAATAATAATAAACAAAATTGCGGTAGAATAAGCTTTAATCCCCAAAAAGTTTTTTCTCAAATCTGAGGGGTGCTCGAGCCCCCTTCGCACCCCACTGGATCCGCCCCTGCATGCTAAAGCCAAGGCAAAGGCAAATCTTTTTATGCTTTAGATAAGGAATTTTTTTAGAATAATTGCCCCCAGTCCCCCTTTTTCCGTGGTCTTTGAGTTGATTTAATCTTCAGTAAATAATCAGTGCTTGTATTTTTCTGTTTAAAAGCAAGGTCCATGCATAGAAATAGCAAAGCCCAAGTGCTCAATTATTTTCTCCGTTAACTAAATTCTTTATCACATACATCAACTTCTTACCCATTTGCAACAAATAATATTAGCGAGGAAAGTTGCTACAAGATAATATTCAAAGCTTGCATTCGAAAAACCAACATTTAGGGCCCAGTAAAGGATTTATCAATTAAGAGAAGACCTACTTTTTGTGAGACTCTTAATTTTTTACGTTGAGCCTAAGATTATTTTAAATTTATTTGACAGAAGGTGTAATTTTATATCGTATTTTATAATCACTCTGTTATAAACTTTTTCCTTTGGCCGAGCTCTGCAGGATTTGAAGAGAAAAACAACACCATGTCATATCATAAAAATGCTAATTTTTATCTACAACCAAATAATTAACTTAATCCACACCTTCATCCATAACCGCGTGTTCCAATCTCTTTACGGTTCTCTTTCTATTGCTGACGTGTGCGCTCTATTTCGCTGCGCACCCTGCTGCACAGTATCATTATGGCGCAGAGCGCTTGATCAGTGGGCGCAGTCCTTACTTTACAACAGACACCATACGTCTATTTCAAGACATATAACTTGCATTTGTTTTGCATTCCAAAAAACTCAAACAGACAAAAATTAATTTTTGATGAAGTTTGAGTCTTGCATTATTCTTAAGTTTTTCTTAAATTTCAACAATTTTGAGCCTTAATAGTATCTACAGTAGGGTCTAAATTGTACCTGTTCTTTCTTATTTACAAAAACCGATAATCTTTATGAATGGTCTTTAAATACTGCAAATTAAATACGCAAGTGTGCGTATTTATCATTTTTGACTTTTTCTGTTATTTGCAGTAAAGACATACTTTGGATTTCATTTTTGTAATGAATCCTTCGTGGCTGATATTTTATAAGGCATCTCTTAAAGAAGAATTAATTCAGGCTCAAGGACCACGCAGCATATCACAGATTAAGGGGACAAAAACATTTTGGGGAGGGGGCAAAAACCAGAGCAGGGCCATTTTTGTATGGTTTCAAGTACATTTTGGAAATTGTTGGGGGAGGGGCTAAAGCCTTCCCCCGCTTTTGCGGTCTCTGTTCAGGCTACCTATACGTTTCACCACCATCAAAATGCATAAAAATGAAAGTTTCTTAGAAATTTCTAAAAGTCTTACAAAATGGAAAACGTTCAATTCGTCAACTAAACTCGACACAATATTGCAAACAGTTGCACGTGCTAAAGTATAATTCTGTATGACGTACAATGCCTGCCAAAAGTTATCGTGCACTAACTTTAGTTTCAAGGGCAAATTCAGTTATTCCTCATTCCCCCTTTGAACAATTCTGGTTTACTACAAAATGACGTGGGAGATTAGGAAGTACGCTTTTGCTGCTAATTCGATGCTATTTTTCTAAATTATCAACATTGTTTAAGAGAGAAGGGGGTGCGGAAATAGGAGTATTTGGGGAAAGAATTGAAAAATATAAAAACACAAAGCAAATTGTTGGGTGTTCCAAGTACTTTTGGCAATGATTGTTCATATTGCTGTATGTTACCCTGTTGTAATCACATTATTTGGTACACATTCAGAAGCTTTTTAACTTCTTCAGCCGAAGCCCACAAAGATGAGAAACTCTAAGAAAAATACAGTATCTTTTTAACATTCAAGCCGTCAAATACTTAAACTGCTTTTACCTCACTTCATTCATAGACTTTTGTCTTTATTGTTTCTATTATTGACAGTTTGTGATAATAGAGAAAGAAGATTATCATTTATAATTTTTTAATTGAGGTATTACTTATGGAAGCCTATAGCCAAGGGCCCCCGGGTCAGTGACCCCCCTGACCCCCTCTCGTCAGCACTGATAATACGGTATGGTATAGTGGAATCAATGCCTAAAATACAATGCTATGATACCTTACAGTACACTTGACGTCCTCTGAAAAGTCTCCACTGCTATTATTTGACTGTCCAGCAACAAATGACAGCATTGCAATTGCTACATACGTGTACAGTATAAACACAGATCTTTGTGTCCAAAACATTTTAGACGCACAGCACTCCATCTTAATCTGATATCGTCTGCAACTTATGAAACCAACACGATGAAAATGTGCAGGTGCCCTAATTCTTTATCGAATTACTGTTGGTTCAATTGATAAAATTAATGAAAGGAAAATGCTTCAACAACAATAAATAATCCTGATTCAGTAACTTGAAATGAAAATTGCCAAATTTTGTGAATAATGAATAGACCTAGCCTCAGGATCATACATTAATTGTTGTTTTTATCCAATGTAACGTCATTATTTGAAAAAAGCAGATTGTTTCATTGGTGGTGATTGTTGCGGAGATTGACAAGGAAAAATTTATGAAGCATACTGTTGTAAATCGCAGAAATTTGCCTAGACATCTTTTTCTCTTTGAGACACAGTCAGCCACACGAAAACATGAAGGCCTTCTGATGACGATTGGCAAGATATAATTGTATCCGTCAAAACTTTTATGTTTGTTGAGCTTACCCTAATTTTAAATGTTTGTGGTTTTTGGTAACGTTTTTATGATAATGTAGCATCCAGCAATTCTTCAAGGCTATTTCTTATCTAGGCATAGCGAATTCGTTAGCAATTGGAATGTCTTTTGTTCTTACCGGGTATGGAAGAATTTGCCAGCGGACGTTTGTGACGGCCACCGGTGAAATCTGCAGATATCCTCAGCGATCATCAGCGATCATAAGCGATCATCAGCGATCATCAGCGATCATCAGCGATCATCAGCGATCATCAGCGATCATCAGCGATCATATGGTAACCAGGCTACAGAGTCCTTCGGTCACATATTAGTAATAAGCAAAATTTATGTGATTCGATGTTAATCTAGTGGAATTTTGTACGACTCACAATAGGTATTAGGAAAAATTGTTAACAAAATTGAAACAAAAGTCATTAAATATCAGCTCAACTGATAATTCATAGGCTGCTCTATGATAGGCTGCATAAGGAAGAACAAATTTTGCGTAAATGTTAACCGTAACAAAATTTAAAACTCAGTATATGGAAGATAAATGGGAACAAACGAACCGAATTATGTAGGCGTGAAAGTTTCTTAGAAAAAGACATTGAATTGCAACACGGTTTCTCAATTAAATTTTTGTAAATTTAAATAAGCTTTGCGAAGGTATAAAGCTTAGATAAATAGATAGAACGTAAATAAAAACAGTTTATAGATTTTTTTACAATCATTAGTTACAGCCAGAAAAGAAGTTTTAGAACTAAATCAAATATTTTACAAAGCTTTTAACTTTCTTTGAGAATAAGTCACAATCATATTTTAACCAACTACGTTGTTTACGTGCGTGATGCAATCATATTACTTCTTCAATTTAGCCAATTTATTTTCTGGCTATGATATCATATTGCTGTTCAAGTATGTCTTCTCGTAGCTGCTCAATTTGTTCTCTTAAATCTTTAAGAACGGCTCTCTCGACAGTCTTTGAAAAGTCTCCAAATCTATCTTCCAATGTGCCTACAAAAGTTTCGCAGGTTGAAGTGGTTGGTTTCGCAGGGAATGAAAAAGTGTCCTTCAAGAGTTGATATTAATTTGTGTCATTACTATCAATCTAATACTTGTTTTCATATTTCAAAGTGACACACCCCCGTCCTCTGCCTACTGTAAAAACCACCCCCCTCCCCCGGGAAAAAAGGACAAAAAGTGTCATTAAAGTTCAGAGAATAAGATGGTTTATTTGCCAATAGGCTATAAGCAAAAAATATGAACCCATGGTATCAATTAGAAACTGAAGTCAAATAAAGTAAAGATAATCAAGTAGATTTTAAGTAAGATGTTCATGAGATTCAAATACATTTTTGAGTTCGTTTTGTGCCAATTAAACATAAGTTAAAAATGGCACAATAGTGAAATATTTAATTCTTACCATTTTTGAATACTGTGATTTCAGTGCCTTGAACTTGTTTTCTTTTCTTTGGCCTGTATAGCTTATGAAGAACTGTAGCTGCGAGGCCGATCAACACTGTTACGGCGCAGCAGCCAAAAAGTGTTATTAGTACATTCTTGGAAATCACAGCTGATCGAAATATTCCATTTTCATTTCCATTTCCAGTTTCCAGGGGCTCGTTTGGCAGCTAGAAGAATATAGGAAGCTACGTTACCATAATCAATCTTGTAATGTTGAATTTTTGATAATCTCGGGTGAATAATGATCAGTTGGTGTATAAAAATATATACAAGTCGTTACCTGTGTATAGCTTTTTCAAAATGTTACAGTGTTACAGTGTTACAGTGAAAATATTAAGTAACATAATATTTTAAGAATTTATCACGCATCTAGTAAATCGAGCTATCTTCAATGTCGCACCATTCTGAAATAACCAGTACTTGTGACCTTGCCAGTCCAATGCTGTTCTCACATGTCGTGGAAAAAATAACAAACTTATTGAGTATAATTCCTTCTAGCAGTCGAGCAGCAAGAAAAGAGGTCTACTGCATATCATTTTGATGCCAATCCTATCAAACAAACAATCCGCTACCCCTAATTCAGCTAATTTTGCATAAAAAGATGCTACTTTTTATTAAATGTAAGACATTAAGAAGCACCCACGATATTGTGGTTCATTGATTGAAGAAAGAAGACATTCGGTTACCACGGGAAAGGCTCAAGTGGCTGAAAGCAGAGTCTCCTGAATCGAATTATCAATCAAAAAAGAATCATGACCATCCAAGATCGCTAAATTACAAATTTTTCTCGTTTAATTTAGCAAATGAAGACGCTTATCACTGTTACCTGTCCTGGCTTGTATTATGCCACATAAGTTTTCATTTACCAAGCTTGTTCGTATCGAAAGGCAAAGATTTTAATGAAGATTCGGCTGATCTGGCTAGTCTTCAAGAATCAAAGGCAAAGATTTTTTATATTGAATTAAAGTAACTCATTGAATTCCTATGCAAAGGTCAATATATCTGTTTCAATTATCCATTTGCAAAGGTCATTCAAAAGACATCGCCAAATATTGCTGAAAGTTCAGAAAAGATGACATTACTGCTGTTTGTATAGAACTAAAGAACTGAAGCTAGCGATTCCATAAATATACTAGTTTGTGTTTCGTACAATATAATGTGTCAATTGATAATGGACTATGCTTAGCCAGACTCTATGGAGGAGAAAAACGCGGGGGGGGGGAGTCTGCATGCAGGCTAGCTACGCTCAAAACTTCGTTTTTATGTACGAAAAATGATTACATGAAATTGGGTAGGTAGGTAGGTATGTAGGTAGGTAGGTAGGTAGGTAGGTAGGTAGGTAGGTAGGTAGGTAGGTAGGTAGGTAGGTAGGTAGGTAGGTAGGTAGGTAGGTAGGTAGGTAGGTAGGTAGGTAAGTAGGTAGGTAGGAAGAAAATGGAAAGATTCTAAAGCAAAGGTAGGAAAATTCGCATACTTAGCAAGTGTTACAAATTTGTTTGGTTTTTCAAGTGAATATTGACACGTTCCGTACCTTCTCTTTCATGCTCTCTATTGCATCAAACATTATACGACTCTGGGTGTCCTCATTTTCTTCTTGAAAGTATCTCAAAAAATCTGCCCAGTAACCCAAACTTTTATCTGAAAATACCAAGCCAAAGCTGATGTCTGTGCTTGCAACATCTTTTTTTATTGCCAGCTTGATACCAGAGTCCTGAAACTGTTTCCAGTGGTATCTCAAAATTAGTCTATCCATCAAGATGCCTGAAACAAAAAGTGCCCGAAGCAACAATATAGCAAGGATTGATAAATGAGAATTTGAGTGCAGACAGAAACATTTTAAGAATTTACTAAAGACAAATCGATAATATCCTCTACTCAACTTTTCCTCTACTCAACGATGTTATCAGGTCAGACACTTTTCGATACCCTAGAACATTTTAAAATAAAATGAAATTATTCTTAACAAAAGTTTAAAACGACAAAATGCTTCTAGTCGCATATGTGCATAAAATGAGACTTGGGTTACAAACAAAGAAGCTACCGTATATCCTCGAATAAGCCGCTGGGGGCTCAAAAATTCACAAAAATTATTTTTGGATCTTATCTGGGCTTATTTGAGGTTTGGCCTTATTCGAAGGTTGGGGGTCATTTAGTATCAATGTGGGCGCAGTCCTTACTTTACAACAGACACCATACGTCTTTTTCAAGACATATAACTTGCATTTGTTTTGCATTCCAAAAAACTCAAACAGACAAAAATTAATTTTTGATGAAGTTTGAGTCTTGCATTGTTCTTAAGTTTTTCTTAAATTTCAACAATTTTGAGCCTTAATAGTGTCTACAGTAGGGCCTAAATTGTACCTGTTCTTTCTTATTTACAAAAACCGATAATCTTTATGAATGGTCTTTAAATACTGCAAATTTCACGAAAAAGTGTGCGTATTTATCATTTTTGACTTTTTCTGTTATTTGCAGTAAAGACATACTTTGGATTTCATTTTTGTAATGAATCCTTCGTGGCTGATATTTTTAAGGCATCTCTTAAAGAAGAATTAATTCAGGCTCAAGGACCACGCAGCATATCACAGATTAAGGGGACAAAAACATTTTGGGGAGGGGGCAAAAACCAGAGCAGGGCCATTTTTGTATGGTTTCAAGTACATTTTGGAAATTGTTGGGGGAGGGGCTAAAGCCTTCCCCCGCTTTTGCGGTCTCTGTTCAGGCTACCTATACGTTTCACCACCATCAAAATGCATAAAAATGAAAGTTTCTTAGAAATTTCTAAAAGTCTTACAAAATGGAAAACGTTCAATTCGTCAACTAAACTCGACACAATATTGCAAACAGTTGCACGTGCTAAAGTATAATTCTGTATGACGTACAATGCCTGCCAAAAGTTATCGTGCACTAACTTTAGTTTCAAGGGCAAATTCAGTTATTCCTCATTCCCCCTTTGAACAATTCTGGTTTACTACAAAATGACGTGGGAGATTAGGAAGTACGCTTTTGCTGCTAATTCAATGCTATTTTTCTAAATTATCAACATGGTTTAAGGGAGAAGGGGGTGCGGAAATAGGAGTATTTGGGGAAAGAATTGAAAAATATAAAAACACAAAGCAAATTGTTGGGTGTTCCAAGTACTTTTGGCAATGATTGTTCATATTGCTGTATGTTGCCCTGTTGTAATCACATTATTTGGTACACATTCAGAAGCTTTTTAACTTCTTCAGCCGAAGCCCACAAAGATGAGAAACTCTAAGAAAAATACAGTATCTTTTTAACATTCAAGCCGTCAAATACTTAAACTGCTTTTACCTCACTTCATTCATAGACTTTTGTCTTTATTGTTTCTATTATTGACAGTTTGTGATAATAGAGAAAGAAGATTATCATTTATAATTTTTTAATTGAGGTATTACTTATGGAAGCCTATAGCCAAGGGCCCCCGGGTCAGTGACCCCCCTGACCCCCTCTCGTCAGCACTGATAATACGGTATGGTATAGTGGAATCAATGCCTAAAATACAATGCTATGATACCTTACAGTACACTTGACGTCCTCTGAAAAGTCTCCACTGCTATTATTTGACTGTCCAGCAACAAATGACAGCATTGCAATTGCTACATACGTGTACAGTATAAACACAGATCTTTGTGTCCAAAACATTTTAGACGCACAGCACTCCATCTTAATCTGATATCGTCTGCAACTTATGAAACCAACACGATGAAAATGTGCAGGTGCCCTAATTCTTTATCGAATTACTGTTGGTTCAATTGATAAAATTAATGAAAGGAAAATGCTTCAACAACAATAAATAATCCTGATTCAGTAACTTGAAATGAAAATTGCCAAATTTTGTGAATAATGAATAGACCTAGCCTCAGGATCATACATTAATTGTTGTTTTTATCCAATGTAACGTCATTATTTGAAAAAAGCAGATTGTTTCATTGGTGGTGATTGTTGCGGAGATTGACAAGGAAAAATTTATGAAGCATACTGTTGTAAATCGCAGAAATTTGCCTAGACATCTTTTTCTCTTTGAGACACAGTCAGCCACACGAAAACATGAAGGCCTTCTGATGACGATTGGCAAGATATAATTGTATCCGTCAAAACTTTTATGTTTGTTGAGCTTACCCTAATTTTAAATGTTTGTGGTTTTTGGTAACGTTTTTATGATAATGTAGCATCCAGCAATTCTTCAAGGCTATTTCTTATCTAGGCATAGCGAATTCGTTAGCAATTGGAATGTCTTTTGTTCTTACCGGGTATGGAAGAATTTGCCAGCGGACGTTTGTGACGGCCACCGGTGAAATCTGCAGATATCCTCAGCGATCATAAGCGATCATAAGCGAGCATAAGCGATCATCAGCGATCATCAGCGATCATCAGCGATCATCAGCGATCATCAGCGATCATCAGCGATCATATGGTAACCAGGCTACAGAATCCTTCGGTCACATATTAGTAATAAGCAAAATTCATGTGATTCGATGTTAATCTAGTGGAATTTTGTACGACTCACAATAGGTATTAGGAAAAATTGTTAACAAAATTGAAACAAAAGGCATTAAATATCAGCTCAACTGATAATTCATAGGCTGCTTTAAGATAGGCTGCATAAGGAAGAACAAATTTTGCGTAAATGTTAACCGTAACAAAATTTAAAACTCAGTATATGGAAGATAAATGGGAATAAACGAACTGAATTATGTAGGCGTGAAAGTGTCTTAGAAAAAGACATTGAATTGCAACACAGTTTCTCAATTAAATTTTTGTAAATTTAAATAA